TAAATTTGGAAGTTGTTTTAAAAATGGAGAGACTGGAATGAGCATTCACAGTTTGGTTGTCATTTATTCAGTGTCATCTGTCACTCCCTGAATACTATAAAAGAATTTTCCCGAAGTATTTAAAAGCAATGCCTAGATAAAATATTTAATTCCTGTAGACATTTCAATCTTTTCTAACATGAAAAAGATAGTATCACTTTACACATGATTAATAATAATTTAATGATGTCTTATTTTTAACATAGGAACATGGTTCAGTACATAAGTCACTTGCTACACAAGCTTATGACCTGAGTGTTTATACCCATAACCCATGTAAAGCTGAACACACAACACACGCTGTAATTCCAAGGCAACACCATTAAGAGGGGAGGCAGAAACAGAATCTCTAGAAGCTGTGGGCCAAGTGGTGGGCTGATACACACATCTGTGAAAATCAGACCTGCCTTGGCTTCAAGCAGAGTGGAATGTAAGCATCAATCTGAGGGTGTTGTCTGAACTCTACACGTGTACAGTGGCATGTGCAAGCCTATATTGACAAGCATAAGCATTCTCACAGGAACACACACAGAGAGAGACATATACACACACACATCATATACATTCATAAAAATGTTTAAACAATCGTTTTTCAAATTATTCCCCCTAATGTCAATAAATTTTCTTTGATTAGTGTGTCTTTGTGAATTGCTTTTATCCCACTTTGGGTTGTTTCTCTTATAGCATTTATTTGCTAGAGAAACTAAATTTCTTACTTGCCTTTTTAACATTTCTGACTCTTTATTTTTTTTTTTTTTTTTGTTTTTACGAGACAGGGTTTCTCTGTTTTGGAGGCTGTCGGTCCAGCCTGGCCTCGAACTCACAGAGCTCCGCCTGCCTCTGCCTCCCGAGTGCTGGGATTAAAGGCGTGTGCCACCACCGCCCGGCAATTTCTGAGTCTTGCTGGACTATGTTTGCCTAAGGTTATTCATCTTTAATCCATAGTTAGTATACTTGTGTCTCATGCTTTAAGCCAGCTGGAGCCACTTTCTCCTGGAACACATGAAATTTCCTGTGATATCTATATCGTTGTATTTCATAAATGAAATGAATGTATATAGTCAACATAATGTTAACTCTAGTATTTCCCTTTAAAAGAACTGTTTTGATAGTTGCTAATCTCACCGAGAAGTTTTTGTGATCCAGTCTTCATAGAATGCATTATTTTGACTAATCTTGCTAATAAGGCCTCAACACAAAGGAGAATTTGTATAATCACAATACATGAAGACAGACGAAAATACAGTCAAAATTGCTTGGGTATGTGTAACTTTTTGAAATGCCAAGAAGCCAAGTTGGTATTAATGCCCCCCCCATTTTCGGTGGCTCACAAATGATTTTTAAGGTTTACAAAGTTGATGGTTCCTTCTCCAAACATTTATATTTTCCTCACCCAGTAGTAGGAAGTTCATTTTAGACTGCATTTCTATGTTTGAATTGTTTTCTCTACGTTAGAATACAAACAGACTAAGATGTATGATAAATTTTCAATATATTGTACAAACTGTGTTCTTGCTCTTGTTTGGATAACATTGTGTGATTCATTACAAAAGTGAACTGTTGAAAAATCTCAGATAAGGGAAGTGAAGTGCTGAGCAGATTTCTGGAAACAGATATGGGAATTTTACACATTTGTTTTCTTTTTCAACTAGCTGAAGTACTAACAAGATTTTACGCCATGCCTCAGTATTGAGGAAAAAGACCTTTTGTTTTTACTGAATACTATATTTATCAACAATGTTAATTTATTTATATAATTATATTGGTAGTGGAGTTATTCAGAATTTCTTTCTTACATCACAATATGATGATACATGGAGTAATTCTAAAATAAGATTTGAGAGAGAGAGAGAGACTAAGATCCTCATGGAGAACTCAAGGCAACTTTATTAACTTTCTCAAAAGATTTATATTTGAGTCTCCATTTCAGAGAGGCATGTTAGGTAAGTAGGTAAATTTCATTTCATTTCAAAGACCCCAAAATTACATTTATAATCCTTAATTTTAGTTACAAATACTAGACAAAGGAGTCAAGACCTTTGGGGAAACCCAAAGCAACAGCTGACCTAAGCAAGTGGAAGCTAGGGACCCCAGTCTGACAGCTGGGGAACCACATAAGACTGGACCAGACCCCCTGAACGTGTGTGTCAGTTGGGAAGCCTGGGCAGTCTATGGGGCCTCTGGCAGTGGAACCAGTATTTATCCCTAGTGCGCTAATGGGCTTTGGGACCCCATTCCCTATATGTACATGAGGAAGGGCCTAGGCCCTGCCCCAAATGATGTGACACACTTTGATGATCCTCTATAGGTGGCCTCACTCTCCCTGGGGAGTGGATGGGCCATGGGATTGGAAGTTGGTGGGGGGCATGGGAGAACAGGAGGGAGAGGGAACTGGGATTGATATGTAAAATAAGACTTTATAATTTAAATAAAAATGTATTTAAAAACACTACAGCCATCTTCAGAGCTAAGAACTCTAACACAGTCACATATCTTATATTCCAAATTAATCATTTTTGGAGGTTCTACATATCCCAACTAGTAAAATGTCAAATATTTTCATTTCTCAAGTATTCCCTTTCAGTATCTTTGGGACAACCTTGTTGATAAACTTTGGGAACTTCCTGAGTTTATGGTGTGCAAGTGGTTGATCCTATTTGCAAATGGCAGGAGTAAAGAGTGTGAAATCCATCAGAACATTCCACCTCTACTGTACTACAGATGGTTTTCTTGCAGAATAAAGATATATTCACTTTGATACATCCCTGGACAAGTGCCCATAATACCTTTTCAAGAGAACAATAACTTGTTTAGAGATCCAGACCCATATACCATTGTTTTCCAAAAGTGGACATAGTAACTAAGTACTAGAGAAGCTTCCAACTTAACCACTATACTTGGCCAGAACTCTTGTGCCTTGAACAAATAGCAGCTTTGGTACAGACACATCTTGGATAATCCAAGAACAGAGGTGTTGAATAACTCCTAGAGCAGTAACTTTCATCCAGCCAGCAAATTAATACCATCAGAGCTGCAAAAGACTTGAATACTCAGGACCTTGTCCTTAGCCAATGAAATAAAAACCTTTGAGTTTAGTAAGAAAACTATATTCCAAAAGTTAACCAGCTTATTCTACCTTGCAGCCTGACACAACCACTACCTTAGACTTCTGTGACCATGCCAGTCTACCAAAAAGTGGTGAGAGTGACCTTATTTTGTCACCTGGTTTTTGTAATGTCCACCATTCCAAGCATTAAGACGTCACTATTCAAGGACCTCTTTTTACACAAATTGGCTCTACAAAACTAGAGTGTATGATAAGACTCCATTCAAAGCATAGAAGTCCTGGAGCTGCTCTTGCAGAATGAAATATCTGCATGCATTTGTTCCACATTGGGCTCACCTTGCAGGGAACATCTTCCTTTCTCCAGTTGGCAGCTACTTCAATTTACATGCCCATTACACACCCTGCACTGCTCAAGTTAGGTCTCAGCTCACAGGTGCAGAGAGTATGAGCTCATCTGGAGACCCCTGTGTCACAGCTGAAATTCAGGGCATCATGTCAACCTTAATTTCATGATGATGGGGTCCTGGAGCAAACTAGAGAGCACAGGCATTTCTGCATCCCCCATAAACCTGAAATGGTCATACAAATTAGTATGAATGAGGCCATATATCATAATTTAATGAATATTTCAATTGATGACCAAAGTTTAAATGTTTTTTTGCTTTCTTGATAAATGAATGAATGGTTTTTAACAATCTATAGAGTAAATGGTAGAAAGAGGAGAGAAACTGTATTACTTGATTTTTTAAGAACTGTTAAACATTAAAAAGCAGTGTTGTCTATATGTTTTGTGTCTAATAAAACTGTTTCTCTAAATAAATAACTGGAACATGTTATGGATGGAACATGGATGGAATCGTTATGTGAATTAAAATGGATCATTATTAAAGTCTCCAAAATTATTTTTTAAATTCAGAGTTAATATTTCTGCAATGTGATGAACTTAATTAAGTTTACAAGTGATGGAGGGCTTTGATGCTGCCTCCTATTAACCACTCAGAAAACAGCACAGTATACTCTGTGTGGAAGAAAATGGTGCTTTCTATGCTAATATGTCTGTAAGACAAGTTGCATAAGTGTGTTGTACCCCCACAATTTACTAACCATTGGGCATTCACTGAGAATTTTTATATAAATGTTAGATTGCTTGATGTCCTACAACAACATTGATGACATCTGATTTGCTTCTAGCACTGTGGCAAATATTCCATGGTCAACAAAAACAAGAATCCATCCATACATGATTTATTTGTTAAAACTAATTTCTAAATCTAACCCACATGTGAAATGAATTTAAATCATTATAGAATCTAGTAAAATTTGCTAAATGTCACTGTGTGCATGCGTGCATGCGTGTGTGTGTGTGTGTGTGTGTGTGTGTGTGTGTTATGGTGTGTTTTCTTGTGCCACAATAGCCAATGAAGGAAGGCTATGTGTTATTTAAAGAATATGAAGGGTTGGGGAGATGCCTCAGTAAGTTGAGTGTGAACAAGCATGAGTATGTTAGTGTGATTCCCAACGCCCACATAAAAGCAGGGTGCAGTAGAGCATATCTATAATCCAGCACTAGGAGGCAAATGCCAGAGGATGCTCAGGGTTATAGGACAGCCAGTCTTAACAATGGTTGACCTCCAGGTTCTGTGAGACACCCTTTCTCAAGACTAAGAAGAGAGAGAGAGAAGACACTCAATTTCAAACTCTGACTTCCAATTGTGCACTCACAGAGCATACACCACATACACACACACACACACTTTTATGTCTACTGTAATTTTTGGAAATATTCTAACCACATTTCTACTGTAAACTGGGAATTAGAAGAGGATTCCTCACTCTGTGAAAATGCTTTTAATTTTTAAAGTATGGAGTAATTAGGCACATGCTTTTCTTTCAGCCATTACTTGTCGAAAACAAGATGGAGGGCAGGCTAGCATCCAGGAGTGCCTCCAGTATGCAGGCCCTGTGCCAGCCCTGACCCAGGCTTGCCAGATCCCCTGCCAAGACGACTGTCAATTTACCAGCTGGTCCAAGTTTTCTTCATGCAATGGAGACTGCGGTGCAGTTAGGACCAGAAAGCGTGCTATTGTTGGTAAGAATAATTTGGATGCTAAAGGCAACTCTTAGCATGACAAAATAATGCAATAAAACTCAAACCAAGAGCATGTGGACCGTATACCTGAAGATTCTTGTTGTTGCTGTAGTTATACTGAATATTTCAGCATATTGAAATGTGTATTTTAATGCAAGGTAACAATAATAGAAGCTTATCATTTTGGAAGAAAGATAAGGCAAACTAATTTCCTATGCAACAAACAATAAAGCATTAGTATCATTTAATCGTGCACCTTTAGTGCATTGCCCGGAATATTTGACGTACCTGGAGCAAGGAGTAGAGGCTACCCCTTTACCATCTCAGCCTTTCCTCAGGACGACAGCCTCAGCACATAGCTTATCTCCTGTGGTGAGAAATTCAGCATTTACTCTGTCTGAAAGCTGTGCTGAAATACAGTCACAATGGCTTTAAAAAGCGATAAAGGCAGTGACATGGCTACACTGAAACTGGGTGCATTTGGGCATACTGTCAGGGACAAAAAGGAAAAGAAAAAAGAAAGCAAAATGTTGACTGTTAATAGTTGTCAAATCGTTGTCATTTACCAAAGTAAAATGAAGACTGAAGACCCTGGAAAACTTCATATTCAAACCATATATATATGTATATGTATATATATATAGTGTGTGTGTGTGTGTAAATTAGAAATAAGTATGTTATTAAGTCTCATGAAGTATTTAAAGAATATGTTATATGTGGCAGAATTATAATTATGTATCATGAACATTTCATATAATAGGACTAGCAAAATTAAATATGTAATTTTAAAGTACATGTATTACATATATAAGGATTTCTAGGAGAGAGTTTCTTTGGATTCAAAACATTTAAAATGTGTTATTCTGGTACCAAAATCTTCTTTTGAGTACTACTAGTATTTTCTGTATTAGTCACCAGTATGTCAGAAAAGACTATTGTTCAGAAATTTTGAAAGATACAAAATAAGAGACCAAGAAATGAGCCTCAGATCTCCATTTCTGAATTGTAACCCCTTGTAACTCTGCTACGTCCTTGCAATCAGCAAAAATAAGAATGAAACCCAATGAGTTGTCTGTCTCTCTGCCTCTTGTATTTTTGCATATATTAAAAAGAAGAGGTTTGTGCAATTGCGACAAACTCCTGAGTCAGTACAAACGAGGATTTCAGTCATTTCAAAGAGTGTAAAAATCAACTACAATCCTTTATGCAAAGTGGACTATTTTTAAATGAAAAAGTAAGAAAAGTTCCACTGTGCAAAGCCCAAAGCACCCAATATCAGCAAAAATGTATTTAGAAAGCACTGAGAAATGAAAAAATATCATTTATTTATAGGCTACTATTGAATAGAATCAAAAGCAGGGAACGGAAGTTTAAGGATGTGAAAAATCTAAGGATGTTAGAAATTAATAATGCTATTTTCCAATGTAATTCTCTTACAGGAAAAAGTAAAAAGAAGGACAAATGTAAAAACTCCCATTTGTACCCTCTGATTGAGACTCAGTATTGTCCTTGTGACAAATACAATGCACAGCCTGTGGGAAACTGGTCAGACTGTATTTTACCAGAAGGGAAGGCTGAAGTGCTGTTGGGAATGAAAGTACAAGGAGACAGCAAAGAATGTGGACAAGGATACCGTTACCAAGCAATGGCATGCTACGACCAAAATGGAAGACTTGTTGAAACATCGCGATGCAACAGCCATGGTAACCCAATAGTACTGCAGTGCTCATATTGCTCTTTGGTAGTGGAGTTATCCCAGAAGGTAAAGGAAAGTTTGCACTAGTGTGTTCTAAATGGAAGGCTGGACACCCCACAGTTCACATTGTGTTCGGAATAGTCCAGTGACTTGGAGTTGGTAGATGAGTCCCAAAACAGGTTAGAAACAGCATTATGGGGCTCACATTATTAAGTTGGAAGTCAAGAATAGCTATAGAGAATTCTGTTGGGACATATTCTCTGTTCGTTCAACAAACCCAGCAATCCCTAACTGAACAATAAGGGACTGTAAAGAGAAAAGATTTGAACACAAATAGATTAAGTCTTAAATGAGGGAAACTTTCAACAACCAAACTGGAAAACTGTGAAATGCCCAGAATGCCTTTAAAGTAACAGAAAGGAAAGGCAAAACTCTCAGTAATCTGTTTGTGGTCCATTGACCTGAGACTAGGTGGGGAAATACTTCGACAAAACTATACCCACTTTTATTTTGTAAAGTAAACTGCAGGGACAATAATTAAGTTGCTGAAAACTTGTGAATAGTGGCTACTTGAAGTCAGTGTTTATAATAAATCCTTAAGTTTTTATCTGAATGTAGTAGTAGCAATATATCACCACTATTCTTTAACTTAATAAGCCCGCTTTTTAACAGAATAAAGTCATTTTACAGTTCATTAGCCTGAGTTGGAGATGGAATGTATTTGTAAAAGTTAGAGAGTGACATCCTGCCTTGTTATAGAAATGACCAGGAAGGAATGCATTAAATTGCTAGAAGCAAGTACATAACAGTTGCCCTCCCACCTTTCTAAAATAACTTCTGAGATTTATTATAAGATCCAGAAGACAACACAAGCTAATAGTACTATTTCACATTTATAAACCTTCAAGGTATCCTGCTGACATATTCTTGTAGTCCCTTAAGCCATTCCCATCAAAGAAGATTCTAAAAATCTTTACCTTTATTTTAACTTTGTCTCATAGTTCTTGTTTTTTAAACCATCAAGAATCTAAAAAGGTTAAGTATAGATGTAAGTATTTTCAGGTTAGTGAGTGAGCTTTGCTAAACCCGAGATCTCTCTGAATTTAAGCAATACCTGGAAACACCAGTAAAACATTTGTAAAAGTAACACAATTTCACTCTTTACATCAAATAACAAAAGTGTTATCAATTAGATTCTAAAAATAGAGGTACACTTCCTATTTTGAGACAATAATATATAAAATTTGAAATAGTTATTCAATGCAAAACAGAAAATTATTTAAATTGAGTTTCCTTTGGAGGACAGGGTATAAGTATTTGCTCAAATTTAATTTTGTCAGTGTACTTATTACTGGGATAATAATTTGTTTTCAGCATTACCTTGAGCTTCGAGCATGGCTTTCATACAGTTCTGCTTCTACTCTGGTCTACTAATAAGATGCATGAGAACTTTAATACTCGTATTTGGGGTATGGAAGAGAAAAACTCTTTTTTTAGGATGCTAGAGATCAAAAACAGGACTTTGAGAATACTGGGTAGGCATTTCAACCGAGTTAAATATATTTCCAGTGCCTAGAAAACAAGTTTTAACAAATTAAAAGACCATCATAATGTGCTACCTAATAAATGTAGCTAAGCTGCACAATTAAAAACAGAAATTTCATTGAAATTAGCCAAAGACAAACTTCTTACCTTAGTGTGATCAAGTTGATGCATGGAGAATGCAGCCCTTCACTCCAAGGTAGGTACAGACAGCAAAAACTATCGTGATGAATGTGTATGAATTTAAGAAAACTTCGTCACCAAGAAGATCATTCCATTCTGAGTTCTTCAGTAACGCTGTCATCTTTAATGATGATCATGTCGCTGTCAGCATGGTTGTCTTCTTTTATCTCTTTTCATCTATAATAAGGTACCCAATGAGGTCTCTTAGCATTTAGTAACACTGATTCAAAGAAAAGACTAAGGAAATTTCATTTCTGTTGACAGATTTCTGTTTTACAATTACTTGTCTTTGCCATGTTCTGTCAGTTCTGATTGTGTATGGAATGCCAAAGCTGGCTACAATGTTCTAGGTATGCTCTGCATTGCTCTATACCTTCTCACAGTTAACGTTCAAGATGGATGATGGATTTGGAGTTTTGTGTACCTTGGAGAAAACTTTTTTCCTGTTCAGTTTAAGCATAAAGTTGACCCCTACGTGTATTAAGTGCAATTATATCAATCTCTTACTCAATTCTCCCTTGCCTTAGGGCAGTTCTGTTTAATCTCTGCTTGACTTATTTTATCAGTAATTACAATGTTATGCAATTCGATTTTCCCCAGTTTAATTGTGTGTTCTTTTAAACTGTTTCCCATGAGGCCACCCTTTTTTAATTTCTTAAACTTGGGACACGATTTTATTACCACAGCTTTGACTTTCTCATAATAAAAGACTCTAGACTGAGAAATGCTATAATCATATCCCTACAATTAGATCTTATATAATGGCTTCTGTTCAGTCCATATAAACCTTTTGTCTTTTAATAACATCAGATCTCGATGTGTAGTGTAGGATTACATAAGTTTCTATTGTTTCCATTATGAAATCTAAAGTAATGATGATTCTGTGTGTGTGTGTGTGTGTGTGTGTGTGTGTGTAAGATTTTTCATTCAAGTATAAGTGACAAAACTTTATTATATAACTTCTAAACTGATCCAGCACAGTAAAATCCCACATTCTGTTCTACATTTGGTACTTATAAGGCATGCATCAGTTTATAAACATATCATATACTCATTATATGTATTTTCGTCTACCATACATGAATAGATATTTGCTAGGATACTTTCTTGAGACACTTGTACTCACTGATACAGTCTTAGCTTCTGGAAGAGTTGATAAATATTTGCAGAATGTATGAATGAATGAATGAAATACTAGAGGGAATATTTCAACATGAAAAGAGTGGGTTCCTGGTGTACTTGCAGTTGGTGAGGACCATTATAGCACTTTCCTTTTTCTAGCTACCCTCCCTATGTAGCACATTTGTGAATGATAACCAAATGGATCATTGAAAATTGTTGTGATATTTAGAACAAATAAGAACTACACATGCCACAAAATGCCTGTATGATTCTGATTGGATGTTGAGGTTCCAGTATGCCCATTAAATGGGAGAAAAACATAATAGCCACATAGCCATCCTACTCAATTAGAATAATAATACCCCTATAATAAAAAGTTCTTTCATTGTCAAAGTTTCCTGTTCAAAATGGTCTGGTTGTATAATAGTTTAATTCTCGGTTCCTGTTACTAATCAAGATGTCTTGAATTTTCTCAGTGGTGTTTACAAATTTAATTGGTAGTTTGAGATTTTGGACTCTCTTTGTTTTCACTCACATTTCCTGTGAAAATAAGGAATAATTATTCCAACTCTTTTCCCTGAAAGATATGTTGTACATGTGGAATGATAAAAATATATAAAATGGCAGATATCCCAGTCTTTAAGTCTCCAATTACATCATTCCAATTCCCTTTAAATTTATCCTCAAGAAATCTTACTTGCTATTTTGAATAGTCAGGTTAAGGCATAATGCAGTACCACAACAACAGCCTTGGTGAATTCCCCACAGTTCAGGGAGCATGTGAAAGGAAAGCAACTCTTCTTTGCAGTTTAATTGAGTATGCTTGACCCGCTGTCTTAGTTAAGGTTTCTATTGCTGTGACCAAAGCAACTTGGAGAGGAGTTTTTTCAGCTTACATTTCTACAACATAATCCATCATCAAAGGAAGTCAGGACAGGAACCTGGGGGCAGGAGCTGATGCAGAAGCCATGGACCAGTGTTGCTTACTGAATTGCTTCCCAGGGCTTACTCAGCTTGCTTTCTTAGAGTGCCGAGGACCACCAGCACTGGTGTGCGTGGCACCATCCATAGTGGACTAGGGCCTCCCCCATGAATCACTGATTAAGAAAATGCCCTACAGGCTTCCTTACTACCAAATCATATGGAATCAACTGAGGCGCCCTCCTCTCTATTGACTCTAACTTGTGTTAAGTTGACATAAAACTATTCAGCACATCAACTTACCCTCAACTTACCTCTCTGATTAATAATGTGGTTCTTAAAATGGTTCCACAGCACTCCCCAGGCTCTGCTGTACAGTGCAGTCTTTAATATCTTCCATGTTTGTTTGGATTTTGTTACTCGTTTCAGGATGAACATGTTGCACTGCTTAGAATAAATTTAACAGCTGTAGCAATTCACTATGTTCAGTAATAGCCAAAGAGAAGACAAACTGTCTACTCATGATTTCTGCCACTGTATTTTAATCCTCTTTCTGTTAACCTTTGACCTCTTATAGCTTCTAATATAATAGCTTCAGTCAAAATGAGCAAAGGGACCTTATATGAACTATATGAAGTGATAATATAGGTGACAACCAAATAGCTTTTTGAGTGAGTGGGTGAGTGAGTGAGTGAGTGAGTGAGTGAGTGAGTGAGTGAGTGAGTGAAGCAGGAGAAAGTGTCACAACATTCTTGGAAGTCAGAAGACAGCCTGTAGGAGTAGGTTCTTTTCATCCATTATGTGGACTTCAGGAACAGAACTTAGGTCTTCAGGCCTAGAGGCAAGTACTCCCTCCTGCCAAGGCATCTCCTTGGCCCCATGGGAAATTTTTGATGTAAGCAGATATCTATGCAGTTCTTGTTTTGTTACATCACAATTGTGAAATACATAGAGCTGTTTATGTGAGTTTAGATATAGAAATCTACTCTGTTAATACACCTAAAGGAATATTTAGCCCTTGAGTAGACATGCTACAGAAGTAATATAACAAACCACTTAGTTTTTCCAATGGTACTGATGTTTTCTGAGAATGTGTATGAGCATATAGCAAATATGAAGAGCTGGGCCTACATGTTTATCTAAAGCAAACAAATAAAATCCAAATAGTATTTTTTCATATTTACATGGGCACTTACCATCACAATTAATTGCCCAATGTTGATTCAAAACTTTTCATCAAGTATATGATATTGAGTAGAAATATGTTATAGTTTGGTTTTCTGTAAGTTATCAAATTATCAGTTTTTAATATGCAATTTAAAAAATAATATTTTCAGTCTTTTCCAGTCCCTGATAAAAGTCTATTTAAATTACCCTGTTCCTGGTTGCAGATATATGCAGGTAATTTATAGGTATTAGGTAGAAGGTATTTCTGAGGTTTCTTTTTAGACTAATCCCAATGTTTTAGAGGCTGCACTGGAGCTACACATTCACGGAGCTAGAAATCATACTAAACAATATTTACTATGTGCTTTCAAAATGAATTATTTAATCATCTACAGTGCACCTTTCAGAAACATAATTTACTACTTGTGAAGGTTATTGACAGCTTCTTTATCTGCATGTTCATAATTCAAATGAATGAGGTAATATGTCCTGTGGTTGCCCCTTGAAGCTTGCTAGTAGTCTGTGTTCTTTCTAACTGAAGAAGGATCAGAGCATATAAAGGCTTTAAAACCACATGATCAGAATTCTCAACTTGATTTTCTTGAGTATCAAAGTTGTTTTGAATTGCTAAAAGTTTTAACACCCTAAACGTGAAGTCATTTATTGTGTTTTAGCATTCCTCAGAAACCATAAATTGCTATAAGTTGCCAGCAATTTATTTAGCCTTAAAATGCTTGAAATGTTCCATCTCCTGTGATTGTTGGATGTTAATTGCCCTCAAAAATGATCTTAGCAGAACAGGCAAGGGAATGCTTATCTGGCAGTTCACTGGTAGCATTAAAGATTTTAATAGTGCTAGATAAACATGACAGGCAATTATTGAATGTGGCTACACACTGGGAAATAAAAACAAGAGATTGAAAAATATAGTCTTCTACTGCTTTGTCTCCGTCTTATTTCCTAATGTAGACCTTTAAAAAGCTTAATAGATAGACTTTTAAAATGTTTTCTGGAATATGCTGTTGAAAAACCAAATATAAAACTGTTATTCCTACCTCCTAGTGATACACAATGAATTAGTGTGAAGTCAAAAATATTAGGTCTTTCTATAACAAAGGATCTAGACTTTAAAAGGTGGCCAGTCAAAGCACTGAAGGTGACTTGTTTCTCCACCTCAAACAACAATTAAAATCAACGTAAAAGTCAATCACTGCAAATTATTTTTAAAAACGACATACTTTTAGAACTTTTAGTAAACAATTTTTGAAGCACCCCTTCAGTTCTCTGTTAGATTTTCTTCTAGATCTTTACAAATACACAAGAAGCCTTCTTCAGAATCAAGAAGGTGACAACACCTTCACCTTCTGCATGTCTGTAACATCCTATGGTTGTTATAACCTCACCAGGTACATTTGCTCTCCAGAAGAATATCTGACAACTCATTTTTTGGAAATCTTAATGTACTTTACTCTTTATATCAAATCTGCGATTGCATTTTTAAAACTGTTTCACACCTTGCTTACAATAAAGTAATATAAAGTGCATGTCCCCAGCACACATTTCTCTCCTAGGAATACATACATCAAAATGTATACTTAACTTACAATACATGGTCTGAAATATTCATAGCAGATGTATTAATATGAACTTTATATTTAAAACTACCTCAATGCTCACCAAACAATACAATGAATAAATAAGACATAACACTTTCACACAATAAAATACAATCTCCAACAGCATATACAATATGGAAGAACCTAACAGTCTAATATAGAGTGAAAATGACTACAAATCATCATATACTACTGGTTAGTTAGTTTTTCATTGCTGTGAATAAAGCACCCCTGAAAACAAAGGAGGAGGGGTTTGTTTTGGTTCACAATTTTAGAGTTGATAGTACCTTCTTAGCTAACTTTGTAGTTTCTCTCCTGAGGATATGCATAATGTGGTGGAAAGTTATGGTGGATCTGTATTCACCTGATTGCAGCCCAAGAGGATAGAAGAGAGACTCATACACCAAATATACCTTTGAACACCACACCTAGATCTCATCTCCTACTTGTCATCACTTCCCAGTAACATTATGAATCCATTACCAGACTGATTTATTGTTGAAGCTAGATCCCACCTGTTAAGAACACGTCTGAATGGTTGGCTCCACTAGCTGGGACCAATACTCAACACGTGAGGACAGTATGGGGGCACTTACCTATCTAAACCACAGGCTGCATGATTCTAATTGCATGCAACTTTTTAAAAGTAAAACTATTTCACCCTGTGAGAACTCAAGATGGTAAGCACTGCTAGCCATATTTTTAATTATTAATATTTTATTTAGCAATAAGAGGCTATGATTAATAAAGGCACTCAAAAGAGGACACTATAGACAAGAATATCTCTGCTGAACTTACACAAATACAAAATATTGTTGTGTAGCTGCTGTTTGGTAAAAAAAATTTAAATACATGATAATCTCTAACAAACCATAAGAGCTAATATGCACAAAGATATGCCATAAATCTGTACCTCATCCATATTTTATTGGTTTCACCATCACCAGCATCTTAAAACAGCATCCCTTGCATTAGTTCTATACATGCAAATGAGTGTAAGTAAAACTGTGACACCTCAGGAAGCTCAGGGGATGTATCAGTGTCAGTATCTCAATCAGAAGTACATTCCAATTATATTAAAGCAATTGGATAAAGTATTGAAGAAATTTTCATATTACTTCTTAAAATTATGTATGCATCAATAATTATTTCAGTAAAATTTTTTCTTGCTTAAAAAAAGAAGAGAGTTGAATGAAGAGTTCATACTCATGTTGAAAAGCCAGATCCCTGTCGTAAACACTTTATCTGAAGGTCTGAAATAGAAGAAGGCTACACTTTTGAAATATTCTAAACAAATATGAGGCAAAGTTAGAAAGTATTATAGAAAATATAGTCAGCATTTTAATATTAATTCAATCCAACAAGGTTATATACTAAGCCTGCCATTTTAATTTAAAAATGGCCTGATTTCTCTGTATTTGAAAATATCAATACTTCGTGCTACTTTTAAAATATAAAGTATAAAAATTAATTAATACAAATAAATTAATAAAATTGATTTAACACCTGAATACCACAAAAACACCAAGCAGAGTCATTAAAAGAAATTAAAGACCTTGGCAGTGGCAGTGCATGGCTTTAATTAGCACTCAGGAGGCAGAGAGGATCTGATTTCTGTGAGTTCAAAGCTGGCCTTGTCTACAGAGCAAGTTCCAGGTCAACCAGGGCTACACAGAGAAGACCTATCTCAAAAAATATAATAAAATATAAGGAAGGAAGGAAGGAAGGAAGGAAGGAAGGAAGGAAGGAAGGAAGGAAGGAAGGAAGGGAGGGAGGGAGGGAGAAAAGAAAAATTAAAGACCAAAATAAATAGAAAGAAATCCCAACTACCTGCATTGCTCCCATGCCAAGACGCTCATGTTGAACAGACTTGAAGTGATTCCTAAATGCATTTAATTGCAGAAATTGGGCTGTTTTAAAATTCATATGATAATATGTGATTCAAAAATACAAAATCTATATTGAGAAAGAATAAAATTGAAATATTCACACTTCCTGATTTCAAAGCTCTCATTTGAAGTTAGACTTGTCAAGTCAGAATGAGACTTGCTAAGATTACAGAGAGAAACGGAATAAAATTTCAGGCCCAGAAAGAAACCCTTCCTTTGATGTGGAGGGCAACAGTTTTCAGGAAAAGGGACCAGGATGCCATCTAATTCCATGACACTCTGTGTGGTATCAGTGACCACATGCCAAAGGAGGAACTCTTTAATCATAAGGAAAATTTAAACCAAAGACAAAGTTAAAATTTATGGAATTCTCAGAGAAAAAAAAAACAGAATGTAAACTTTTGTGAGTTTGAATTAAGTAACAATTTACTAAACATAAAACCAAAGCAAAAGGAAACAGAAAAGAAATGGATTTCATCATTTAAATCATTTATTTATTTAGATACTTATTTAAGAACATTCTTCTGGGTTGAGTCGAGGTAAGAATAGAGGAGAGCAGGATGAGAGATACCATAATAGACAGAGTCATTATAAGCTTGAGGAGAGAGCTGACACTAGTGAGATCTCCAGAGATCTACAAGGATAACACCAACTGGCAAACTAAACAATAGTTGAGAGACTACACTAATAGCCCCTCCTTGATGATAGGGTTGATGCCTACCCTATATGCCATCCTAGAACCTTCATCCAGGGACTGATGGAAGCAGAGACAGATACCCACAGCTAAGCACTGAACTGAATTCCTGGAACCTAGTGGCAGAGATGGAGGAGTGATGAGCAAAGGGGTCAAGACCATGATGATGAAACCCACAAAGTCAGCTGACCGGATAAGGGGGACTCTTGAATCCCAGACTGATGGATGAGAGGCCAACAGGGGATTGATCGAGACTCCATGAATGTAGTGCCAGGGAGGAGGCCACAGAATTCACTGGGTCCTTGGGTAGTAGACCAGTGTCTACAATGGTTTATGAATGAGCTTTGGGAGCCCATTCCAAATAGAGGGATGAGCTCTCAGTCTGGACACATGGGGAAGGGCCTAGGTCCTGCCCAGGATGAAATGACAGACTTTAGAGAATCCCCCCAAGGAGGGCCTCACCCTCCTTGGGGAATGATGTGGGGATTGGGTGGGGGGCTGGAGGGTTGGTGGAGGGACAAGGGAGGAGGGGTGGGAGAGGGAGCTGGGATTGACATGTGAAGCATTCATGTTTCTAATTTAAATAAAAACTATATTGAGAAAAAAATAAAAGAACATTCTTCTGTCTGCTTTTGGGAAACTTTTCCACCTATTAGGTTGCCTTATCCAGTCTGGATATGCTGAAAAATTAAACTAAATGAAAACAAAAATAATAACAAAAACAAATATTGTTTCATTTGGTCTCATTTATATGGAATGTCAATTAAAGGTCGGTTTTATAGAGCCCAATAGTAAGTGATGATTGCCATATGAAGATGAGAAGCAGATACTGAGTGATAACAGTAAAGACAGAATTTTAGAAAAGGAGCTTAAAAATTATATAAAATCCTAAAATTAAGATGGCGGTAACAACCATACAACTCTACAAATATACAAAACTTCAAAACATAAGCTGATTTTTATGTTACATGATTTTTAAGCTGGAAATGTTTTCAGTCTACTTGTCCCCTCATAGATTGTGAGCATGATAATCGTGTGCATGATCCAGTCTGTGACATTGGTATAAAATGATGAAGCAAACTGATTTTGATTCTTTCTAAAGTCAATATTACATAAGGAGGAAGAACAGGCATTTGATTTTTGACCAGAGGAATTCTGCTTTTCCATCCATTTGCCTTGAGACTAGCAGCGATAATTTGATATCATGAAATGTCAAGTTGGTAATGAAGCACTAATCAAAGAAAGCAGCCTGCCTCCCAAATCAAATCTATACACTATTCGTTTAGCTAGTGAGTTGAATGAATGAGTCTACACTATCCCTTTCCCTGAGCTCTTAGCCTTGTCAACATCTCTCTGCATTTGTTTTCTGGTTTCTGCTTAACACAGTTAAAATCCCAAGGGAGTCAAATGGACCCAAGATGAGGCGTCCCTTTAACAGCACTGTGGAGATAGGAGGCACTGTTTGCATAACATCCTTCCATTTCTATCCTCACAATTGACTTTCAAGGAAGGGGGAACATAAGGCGCTAAGTTAAATGGATTCTTTCGGGTGTTTATTGAGACAGACTGGCTTTTCTTGAGGAAGAATGCTGTGAGGACTCAGAGTCCTGCCGGTGCGTGGCATTAATACATAAGGTGTCACAGAAATCTTGTGTTAGGAGATTTTTAACAGCAATCTGACAGCACTGAGAGTGAGACGGTTAGCCGACAGGTTAGTGTCAATTAAATAAGAGTTGTCACGAAGTCAGAAATGTTGAAACATGGTGGGCATGAATCCTGAGCAGATCGTATGGCAGCTACTCAGCTGCTATTTTAACACAGCCGTGGTATATGTGTGTCATTTCCCTGCAGAATTTAATTTGAGTCCCTAAGGACACAGACATCTCTGCATTTGAATGCTGCTGCCAAGTCAAAAGTGGACCTTCTAAATGAGCTGGAATGGTGGGCGTGAGACGGAGAATGGCACTTAGCAACTTGCTTCTTGTTCAATTTTCCTCTGCTCAGGTTACATAGAAGAAGCCTGCATCATTCCCTGCCCCTCAGACTGCAAGCTCAGTGAGTGGTCCAACTGGTCCCGCTGCAGCAAGTCCTGTGGCAGCGGCGTGAAGGTCCGGTCCAAGTGGCTGAGAGAAAAACCTTATAACGGAGGCAGACCTTGCCCCAAACTGGACCATGTCAACCAGGTATTTTCCTAACAACAAATGTATTAAGTTATTTCTGAAATTCCCAAGATCTATTATTTCTCCAAAATGAACAAAATTAAATAAGAGCTCCTGAACAAGAAATATGATCAGTTATATTTTATAAGGTCTGAGTAAAATATGTGTAGCTTACAAAAATCTAAAAGCTCTAATTATATATGTTATCTCTGAATTCTCTGGGGATTCAGAGTCTGCAAGCTTCTAAAGAGGAATATAGTTCCATAGAGGTGAAATGGCACTATCTGGTGAATAATGGCAACGTATTTAATCTCCCATACAACTGTGCCTAACTGTTATGATGAGGTCACATAATTCTTAGGGTTTCCCTAGACTTGCAGAGTGGAGTTCTCAGTTACCAAGTACTAAAGACAAAAGCGAAGAAAGAACATAAATATTTTATAAAATTATGGGAAATGCTATTTATTCATTTCAATCAGCTGTGTGTACAGCAAATTCAAGAAAATAAATATGAAGTATCTCAAATTTCATGTGTGTGTGTATACACATATACTAACTAGCAATTTAGTCTCTGCCTTTACTCTGCTTTTTCTTTTTTTATTTAAAAATTATTTTTTCATCTTACATAGCAGCCCCAGTTCCCCCTCCTTCCCCTTCCCCAACCCCCATCCACTCCTTGAGGAATCAACAAAGTCTGGCATACCAAGTTCAGGCAGGACCAAGCCCCTCCCCCCTGTATCAAGACACAGAGAATGGGCTCCAAAAAGCCAGTTCATGCCCCTGAGATAAGTTCTGGGTCTCTGCCTTTTCTAACACTGGATCCATATTAGGGCGTGCATGCACACTTCATTAGCTGATGCCAGTGGTTGCTATTTGTATTCTATTGGAGATAAAGAGTAAAACGGCTGGCTAATGATGGAATTGTGATTAATTTAAGTGTAACAGAACAGACAATTGTTATCACAGTTGATCAGCATGTAAATTAGCACAGAATGGATTTTATAGAGTGTGTGCAGATGTTAAGTTTTGAATTTGAGCCATGATCAAATGAAGCACGTATTTAAATATGTTAAGCTGTTTTGTGGGGACATAACTTGTCTCATTTTAGCCTCTAACTGCATTGCTATCAGAAGTTTCCTTCTGATTAACCTAAGATTGTTGATAATAATAGAATCATACCGTATAAAAAGTAAGTATTCTAAGCAAATATTTAAGTAAATTATATTATCCTAATTTTAATTATATAGTTACTTATATAGTTACAATTATATATTAGATAAATAACAAATATTAGAAGTATTTTAACTAAAGATGAACACACTGAAGAATTAAATCCATGGAAAGTATTCTCAATTAGTCTGAAGTTTTCCAAAGTTAGTGATTTTAGGCAATGGAGAGAGAATAATACACTGTACTATCGCCATCTCCTGGCAGTTGAGCAGCCTTGTCACTGAATATTTCGTATTCCTCTACTGCAAGTATTCATTTACAAAGCAGAAATTCGTCTGCACAGCTATAATTGTGTGACTACGAAACAGAATGGCAAAAGTGACATGTTTATGACCCAAAAGAATGCTTGTCTAAAACTTAGGAAATCTTGAATTTCCAAGTGACAAATTTAAATATTAATACATTATGATCCATGGTCCTAACAAAGAGGAAGTGTTCAAATACTCAATTCCTCATGTGTGTATGTGTCCAACAAGTCAGTATGCAATGTAAATACACCATGTTTGCCTGAGCACTTCTGTTTCCAAAGGCATATGACCATGTTCTAAATTGTCTGTATTGTACAAATCGCTAGACTAAGACCCTTTCATTGTTACATTCCAAAATAAACAGGGATTTGAATATTAGCAAAATAGTCAAAAAATAAAATATACAAAATGTGTATAAATGTTTAAAAGGTATAAAGCATGTAGATTTTTGCTGCAATTAATTCCTTGGTAAAAATAGAGCAGTCAGTTGACTTGAAAGTACTCTCTGAGGTTCTGTTTCCTAGCTGAAGTTAAGTTCTAAGATTCTTATTTCACTAGAAATGGATGAATGGATTAAAGTGAATTAAAGGATAAATGGATCTGTAGGTGGGTCAATATATAGATAACAGTCCATTGATCAGTTGCTTTATAAGTTATTTGTTGTCATAGTTCAGTTTACCATGACAGGGGCTGCGAGATCCACTCCCTTTTTGAAGTTTTGCTACCTGCACATACAATCCTTCCTTTGATTGCCCAGTCCTTTGTACATCTTAAAGTTAAATTGTGTTAAATAGTTGATTTATCTCCCCTAAAGTCTAAGAAAGACTCATCTTTTATAAAAATAATTTTATATAAAAGTCCTTATAACTGGAATGGAGATTGTGAGCTCTTCTCAAAATAACTGACATTTCAATCTTTCTTTTTTTCTTGTCCTTTTTTTTTATTTCTGGCAAACACCACTCCAGGCACAGGTAAGCACTCTCATCTCCTGATTATTCAGAGTTCTTAAAAACACATTACTTTCTTCAGTTTCTCGATCTAGTACCTATTTATTTTATTTAGTTACCAGACCTTTATTTATAAAGTTTGAGGAGTTGAGGTGAAGTAATTAGGTTTACCTATCCCACTTTGATGAGGCAATCTCATCCTTATTTATGCTTGAAGGAGAGAGGCATGGCGGGTTGAAAGTGGTTATTTAGAAATGTCTATGAAATAATTTGCATTTACCCCAACAAAGAGGAATAATGATCCTTCTATCAAAGGATTAGGAATAACAGCAGGTCCCCTTCATTTCAATTCTTCCATTAACTTGGAGTGGTGGGTAATGTTTAGCTATGTAATAATAGCCCTGTTTTAACACACCTCCCAAATGGAACTGTGACGACTGTGGCATTAACTACAGTCTTATTCTAACACTGCAGTTGTTTTACTGTTATCTAGGGTAGTTCTGCCTTATTTTGGATTTTAGTCCTCCAAATGTGCAAAATAGTCCCAAAGGACTGTTTGTGTCTGTTTCCTGGAAATGATTACCTAAACCATATTGTGTGTGAGGCAATGTAATATAGGAAACAGATTTGCATTTTACATATTATAAAAATGTTTCAAAATATTTTTCTCTAATGCTTTTATTTGTGATTGTAGTATATTGTGGTTTATTTATTTCTTTTACTTATTTTTCTCATTGGAAAATATCACATTGCTTCATTGCTCCAGAATTCCTGAAACAAAACTAATATACTGAATTTGGGATTGAAAGCTTTGTGGACAATAACCACGAATAGTTGGCTGTATTCTGTGTGGTCCTTGCATGCTGACAGTTGTAACTGTAGCTATATATCATGTAAAACTAATTTAGGACCTTGTTTCCATACCTCAAGTGATTGAGGATTAGTCTTAAGGCTTATTTCCATTTGTTTATCTTTTTGGTTTCTTGTATGAAAAATGCTAATTCTTACAACTATACACATTTCTATGTAAAACGGGGTAAATAATATTTATTTGGGAAACATATGTTTACCATACTCTTCATTCACTCATTCATTCATTCATTCATTTGACAAATCTCCACTGAGTATCTAGCATGTGAGTGCCCTAGGCTAAGGACTAAAAGCATATAAAACCTTTAACAAAATGAATGGTCCAGAAGATCATAATATAATGTGTTAAATGTCAGTTTATGAGAATACATTTTGAATCTGGTCCGGTGAGTTAGATCTATACCCACTATGTAAAAACAGAGGAGGCAACTCAACCCACCTTCCCCTCTACTAGACTAGATCTTTCTTACTACTTGAGATTATGAACAATAAGGGGGAGGAATGAAAATAAACTGATGGAATACCGACTGTTATGATACAGCTGTCTTCCATCTACCCACCCCACTCTCATTCCACTGCCTGAGATCAGCAGATGTGTGTTTCAGGTGTATGAGGTCGTACCATGCCACAGTGACTGCAACCAGTACATATGGGTCACGGAGCCGTGGAGTGTCTGCAAGGTGACCTTTGTGGACATGCGGGATAACTGTGGAGAGGGTGTGCAGACCCGTAAAGTGAGGTAAGACCAAGCAGAATGACAGAGAGGCAACATGGCAATCATTTCCCTATTCCACAGGCAACAACATGGGACATCCCTCATCTCTACTGTCCTAAAACTTTTGTTAGTTTTGGTGTTAGTTTTGTTAGTTCTGGGTACCTAGAAAGAAGACCCTCTATTTCAGGAAGCAGTTTGTGTATTCTAGTTTCTGACTTTAAAAGCTCCACTTTACAATACCTTTTTGAGATTATAATATAATTATATCTCCCTACCTTACTCCCTCTAGAACTATCCCTAATACCGACCCTTACTTTTTTGAAAATACATACCTATTTTTCATTAATTACTGTTGCATACATTTATTATACATGGATATGCAGATAAAGACAAATATAGATTCCTAAACATATAAATGCAACTGCTAGGTCTGTATATGTAGTATGTATGTTATCAGGGCTGACCATTGGAAATACACATTGAAAGTTTATAGGTGTGGATGCTAAACCTCAGTGGCTTCTGAAAAGCCACACATGCTTCTTTTGTGGATTTGTATTATTTTTGTATACATTCATGTGTGTATGGAGGCCAGATATCAACACTGGATATTTATCTCATTCACACTGCCTGCCATACATTTTGAGCCAGGGTCTCTTGGAGTCCCAGGGATACTCCTGTCTTTGCCTCCTTGGTACTAGGGTTAGATTGTGCTGTCGGGCCCACTACTTTTGTCACAATAGTGCTGGAAACTGAACCCATGTCCTCAAGCTCATGTGGCAAGCATTTAACTTACTAAGTCATCTTCCATAGCATAAAGGACAAATATAGTGGTAAATACACATTTTCAAATACTCTGCCTTGACTTCCTGCTCCTTTCTGTCAACCTGGCTAGCATTTGAATACTCTCATCTCCTTCAAGAACCTGTAGCTAGGTATTGCCTCTCACTTATTCAAATGTAGTTATCCTGTGTGAGAGAGAAGCTACTGGTCATGTACAGATATTTAAATTCCACCTTAAACTAATTAAATAAAGTTTTTAATGCATTTCTTCATTCAGACTACTCATAATTTCAGATTCTCAACTGTCACAAGTGACTGTTCTATTGGACAGAACAGATGTTGGATATTTCTGTCATACAAAGGGTCTAAAATATAATAATAATAAATCCAGAACTTGACTTTAGTTCATTCTCATCTATAACTTAATTTATCATGAGTGTTAGAATTATCTAATAGTGTCACAATCTATTTCAGTAGAAAGTTTTTGTTCAATTAATGTTACTATCATAAAATTTTTGCATATAAAATATATATAATCTTGTTTCTGTTTGTCTCAAAAAACCCATTTACAATTTCTATGAGCCATAATAAAGTTATACTAAAGATGAAGACAAAAATGAAGGCAACAAATAGATAGGAAATGAAAAAGAAAAAAAAACAGAGTTCCTGTTCTCTACACTTCTGCTTCCAATTTAAAACATTTTACTCCAAACTTAAAAATCATTTCCTTATGTGAAGAATTTGGGTCAGTTGCTTGTTTTGTTCGTGAAAAAATATGATGAAAGAATGAGTATTGAACTTTTCCTTCAACTGTTGTGTACATGCTTCTTTTTGCTTTGTAAATAGTTATTTTTCAATGTTTCCAAACACATTTGAAACAAAGTAACTTTTCAGATCAACTTATGTATTGAGGTTGATGCAATAGAGAGAGGTCAGTATTGATCGTGATCTCGGATCATGTAATAATGTGACTTTTTGTTCCTGATTGAGTGGTACAGAGCTCAAATTCTATCCTCTGCTAATTAGGGTCAGAATGTCCTGCCTACATACAAATGTGGACTGACATTTCAGGATAGATGAGTCTATAAAAGGGCAGGTTTGTATTTACTTGTTTTCAGTCTTTCTCAGTTAGGATGGAATGGCATGTAAGAAGTGAATAATAGAACTGGTTCTTCCTAACAGGAATTCATTCCTCCCCTGCTTCCTTCCTTCCTGCCATCTTTCTCCCTCCATTCTTCCTTCCCTCTTTCCTCCCTCCATCCTTCCCTCTTTTCTCCCTCCTCTCTTCCCTTCTTTTTCTCTTTCCTTTCTTCTTTCTTTTCTTCCCTTCCCCTAGTGCTAGGAATGAAGCCGTGATATCAAGGAGGGTAGGCAAAGAAAAGGGCATGCTTTCAGTGACATTTTTTTCACAATTTTATGTACACAATGACAATACAAATAAAAGGAGGCAGTTTTAGTTGCTGTTTCTGCAGCTGTTGTGTTTTATCCATGCAGACACCCTGAATTTGCCTCCAAAGTGGTCCTGCAGTCTGTGTGTCTAATATACTTCAGGCTTCTCAAAGAACTATATTGCTCTTTAGAAAAATAGAAAGGTCAAGGCAAACAAGGAAGCAAATTTAAAATACATTTATTTGGGCTTAAGCTTGATCCAAATATTTATTCTGAATTTTAGGTTGAAAGAAATGTTAATCCAAGTAAAACTAATACACATCTTGGTAGGTAAAATTTGTTCCTATTTTATGAAATGGAAATATGTTTGAAAAATAATAATTCACTTTAAAGTAAATTAGGTCCACTAAGAGAAGTTAGCTCTGAGAGATAGATTTACGGTTTATAATTTATTCTGATATTTGAGTGATTTATACAATACAAAATTAAGAAAGATAAAAGCCTTTACCAATAAACTTGTATGTATATAGCTACCTATTAGGGTATTGGACATCTTTTCTTTACTTGGATCAATAGGCAATTTTACAAGTTTAAATCCTGTGTGCTGAATCAGTATCAGCTAAGAATGTGATCTTAGCATCAATTCCACCTTTTGAATGTGAAAATGCTTGTCCTATCCATGTCTTTGTCAGGACACTGTCAAAAGAATATTTTTAGAGTGGTACTGAAGATAGAACTTTTCCTATATGACTGAAAACTCTTCTAAATAAATTTCTAACTCAATTTTTCGACAATTAAATCTCCAATTATCTGCTGATTCATTTTTGTGAATCATTTTTCAAAAGAAATCACAGGGATCAGTATTCATGTGGAGGTTTTTGTTTTTCAGATTGCATGACCAATCATGATACGATATTGACAGTTTTCCAAGCTTTCAGTGTCTCACTTAATAGAAAGATTTTGTTAAATTTGGTAGCAAGATAAACAGTAATCTTTCAGAGTGTATTTTTAAAGACACAATGTACTTCCTCCTGGAAATCTCTGAGCAAAGATCGGATGTCAGGCATATAACTGTGGCATGACTCAGCCAACTGCTAAATCACAGCCCAGGAGGTTTAAGAGCCCATCTTCTCATCTTCCTTTTCAGCTTCCCAAAGTCACCTCCCTTCCAAAACCCATTAATTTGGTTGACCTTTTCTACATTATAGATTAAGAATCAAGGTTTTCTCTCCCACTATTAAAGTTCACAGAGAGATTATTAACTAAGGTAAAGGGAAGCCACATTAATTAGCTTCTCAAGAGATCAGTAAAGTATAATTCTTGACTGTTCATAATAGAATAGTATGAACTAAGATTTAAATTTTTTATAATAAAATGAAAACTAGAAATCAAGAAAAAAGTCAAGATAGAATGTCCAAATAAGCACACTTAGAGAAGTTGTGCTGTTCTATTTATAATTTTCTTTCAGTTTCTGACTTTTCTTTTCAAGTTAGCAGATGGGTAACTAAAATTGTCTTTTTAATGGCTTTTATTTACTTTATTTGTATACAAGCACAACCACACACTCACACCCACATGCCTTTCTCACACCCACATACAACCACATACACAAATGCACACTCACACACACATGCACACACAGTCACACACACACACAAATCAACATACACCATCTCTCTTGCACAAACGCCTCTAACACACACATAACACAAACACACAAATTCATAAGTACACACAGATGCACACTCAAACACATTAACATAAATACACACATCACACATGTCTCACACACACACAAAACCACATACACACAACCACGCACATGCATTCTCATACGCACACACACATCACACACAACACACACTCACACAGGTCTCTCACATACACAGACACAAATTCACACACAAAATCATACACACACTTCAACACAAACACACACAGTCACACACACACACATGTCCCACCCCACGCAGGCAAATACACACATATGCACATGCACACACAGAACCACACAAGCACTCACTCACACACACACACACACATCATACACACACTTCAACACACATAGCCGCACTCACACACATCACACACAAGTCCCACACAGGTAAATACATGCAGATGCACATGTACACCCACAATCATACACATACACACACATCTGTTACACACAGGAAAAACACAGATGCACACACACAACTACACACACATGCACTTCACATGCATACACGACACTGGTCCCATGTGGAGGATAATTTTCAAGAATTAGTTTTCTTTTCTACCAAGTGAGTTCTAGGGACTGAAATCAGGTCATCAAGTTTGGCTGCATATGACTTCCCTCACTGAGTCATCTTGCTGGCAGCTAAAATAACTTTTAAATGATAAAACAAACTGATAAATTCCTTACCTTGGAAATCACCGTATGAAGCATTTTGTGTGAATAGTGCACTATACCTAAGCCTCCATCACCTATGAGTCAATTGGATATACTCTGAGAATCTCTTTGGATCACTTTATTTCCTGTCTCACATATGAGTATAAAAATCACTTCTCTTGCAAAAAAATATGATAGTATTTACCAATGCATGGAAGCTATCTTATTAAAATACTGTGAGCATGCATGTGAGCATTTTTTTTTTTAAAGGAGTACAAACTATACTTAAAGAGTCATAATTTCTTTTTACTCTCCACTTTGGGAGAATGTTGTTCACCAGATGATGTCCTTTTGTTTTGTTTTGGTTTGGTTTGGTTTTTTTTGTTTTTTGAGACAGGGTTTCTCTGTGGCTTTGGAGGCTGTCTTGGAACTCGCTCTGTAGACCAGGCTGGTCTCAAACTCACAGAGATCCACCTTCCTCTGCCTCCTGAGTGCCAGATGATGTCTTAATGAGAACTACCCATCCTGTGTGTTGGCTGTCATTCTAATTGTCCTGGTTCTTTTGCTGATATGCTTGCTTTTTTTTAGATGCATGCAGAATACAGCAGATGGCCCTTCTGAACATGTGGAGGATTATCTATGCGACCCAGAAGATATGCCTCTGGGCTCTAGAGAGTGTAAACTACCATGCCCTGAGGACTGTGTGATATCTGAGTGGGGGCCATGGACCCAGTGTACTTTGGTGAGATTATGAGCCATTTGGATAAAATGAAGTTTGCTTAATTTTTGAAGGTTTAAAAAATAATTTCATTTAAAAACTCTTTTTGTAAGTCATGCTTGAAAAACGAAGTGTGCTTTCTTGGCTACTTCCTTGGATGGGTAAGTCATATAAATTCAGCAGTGTTTCTCCAACAGCGTGACTTCTTGCAAACCCTTTGCTCCTTTTCAGCTATGATCCTAAACCAGCACATGATGCCTTTACCTAGCCTCACAGGTTACACGGAATGTTAACTCCACATTGGTTATTACAATTCCCTTTAGTCAAAGTGAGGAAGGAATGAAACTCCACTCGAGTTCCTCTAATGGTGTTAGCGTGCTATCCCTTGCTTCAAGTCTTTTAATTTAAACAGCAGGGGAATGCCACAGAAGGAGTTATTGACTCTAGAAAGTGAAAGATTCTGAGTAAGAAATTGAGGAGCAAGAAGGTTACACATGGTGAGACATGAAATATTCTTCTTAGATGGTTGTTTGTGGACATTTAAAACAGAAACCTATTGGTCATAGCTTCTGTTCAGTGAACCTATTAGAATCCCTGTTGAAGAGTATAAAATCAGCCTTGAGTTCGGCATCCTTTATATTATAATAGGAAAACTTTGTAACAGAACCAGTGATGATTTGAATTTCATCTGTGGAATCCCCTATTTTCATACAAAGAAAAAAGATCGTGTGACAAAACTGCACCCTCTTTGAACATCTCTTCTTCAAACTACTTATTAGTGCCTATATCAAGAGGCAACTGGGAATGTTACTTCCCTTATAAAGAAAGTTTGCCTATGTATTAGTCAGGGTTCCCTAAAAGAACAGAAGTTATCAGCTTATATATAAGGTGGGAGGGGAGATTTATCAGGTCTTACAGACTGTGGTCCAGCTAATCCAACAATGCCTGTTATAAACTGAAGTTCCAGGAATTCAGTAACTGCTCAATCCAAGAGGCTGAATGTCTCAGCTGGTCTTCAGTATATGGCAGAATCCCAAAGTAGGCTCTAATGCCAGTGAAGGAGTGGACTTGCTAGCGAAAGCAAGGGAAATCAGGCCAGGAGCATCCTTCTTCCAGGTCCTTTTTATAGGCTACCAACAGAAAGTGTGCCCCATATTAAAAGTGGATCTTCTCACCTCAAAAAATGTTTATTAAAAGGGTATCTTCTCATTTCCAAGATCTGGATTAAAGTTGAATCTTCTCACTTCAAATGATTTAATAAGAAAAAATTCTGACAGATATGCTTAGCCATTTGGGTTTTAGTTAATTGCAGATGTAGTCAAACTGACAATGAGAACAGCCGTCACAGCCTGACAGTCACACATATTCTGTGCTTCTTGAGTCCTAGAAAACAAAAACGAGTTCAAACTCAACAGAGCTGTAGATTTCAATAGCTTTGAGAACCCTACCACCCTTCTAGAGGAAGGAAATCACTTGAAACAGTATACAGGAAAGTTAACATCTCAGAGTTACTGTCGCTATGATGAAGTATCATGACCAAAAGCATCTTGGGGAGGAAATGGTTTATTTTACTCAGCTTATCATCAAAATCAATGAGAGCAGGAACTCATGAATGACAAGAATCTGGAAGCAGGACCTCATGCAGAATCCATGGTGGGGTATTTCTTTCTGGCTTGCTCTCTTTGGCTTACTCATGTTGCTTTCTTATAGAACCCAGGAGTACAAGCTTAGGATGGCGTCACCAGCAATGTTCTGGGCCATCCCACATTAATTACTAGTTAAGAAAAAACTCTACCAGCTCATTGGAAGCATTGACTTACATGGGATCTCTCCTCTCAGATGATGCTAGCCTTTGTCAAATTGCTGTAAAACTACCCAGCACATTTACCTAGCCCTGCACACCTATGAAAAGCAATGTGAAAAAAAAAACTGGAAAGATACACCTAATGTTAAATTGCTTGAATTATAGTGAAGGACAACTTCAGACAAGTTTATAGTCTGTGTTTTCCAAGGCAATTTGCCTTTTTATCTCTGTGTTAACACTGTTAGAATACTAACTGAAACCAACTGACTGTTCAGGAACAAAACAGGCCCAATATAACACTTCAATACATATTGAAAGAAGGGTGAAGGTCCCACCCTTCGTGAGAGTCTGCGAATAAATTTCTGTTCTAATTCTGCAGTTGAACTACATTCTATAATGTCTAATTCTGTTTATGATGATGGAATTCTTATCATCGGAGATTCCTTTAAAAGAATATTCAGCTTATATAAAAACAGAGGCTGTTGAACTTGGGCTACTTCTTAAATCCCTTAGCACAGATGCCAGTAACAGGAACCAGTGAACAGAATTATGTCCATCTGGGTTTTGTTTTAAATATCCATAAGTAACCATCTTAGAAAAATATTGAGTTCCACCATGTGTGACAAGAAAGAGTTTGTGAAACGTATTTTGTTTTCTTGAGCATTTGACAATAGAAGTTTGGGGATGGGACTAAAATTTGACTAGTTGAATAAGTGTGCATTTTAGACTTTATAAGTATCTTGTTTCGTCACCTACAACATCCATCCATAAACAAACATAAAGCATTCACCATGTGCGAAGAAACGTGGTTCAAAAAATGTACAGCTACAGAAGACAGAAGCTGTTCAATGTACTCACACTTGGGATGGTAGCAGTACCTTTATCCAATTAGCATTCTCTAAATACAGTCTTTGATCAAAAAGAGCAAAGGACAAGGCAATAACTACTTAAGGCCTAAGAAATCCAAAATTGTTTGTCCCTTTCTATTCATAGAAGCCAAATGATTTCAGAAAGATACAGCAATATGAAAATAGTCAGCCACTCTATAGATGCTAAATTGTTTATGTGACGTTGTGCATTAGGAAAATAAAAGTCATTAATACCTAGATAATTATTTGAAGTGACCATTTTATTTAAATAGTTTAAGTCAATTAACACACATACACAAACATGAGTGTAAACATGCATGCACACATATACACTGTTATACATATACATCAAATCATTACAGCATACAGGAATTATCATTCTTCTTTACTGAATGTGGACATCTGGATGTGTTTATATAGATGTAAGGTAACGACTTAAGCATCTTCTGTCTAGGATGGCACATCAAACTCTTAGTCAGTCTCTACATTTTACATATGGAACTCTGAAACACAATGAGGTTAACTGACTTGTTCAATTAGCTAATGAATTGCATGCTCTAATGCCAGCTCCAGTAACATGCTAGCTGTTATATGGCTGAGTTTACCATTCTGAAAAAATGGTATTGTTCTCTGTAAGCCTTGCAACCCAAGTGGTTCCCGGCAAAGGTCAGCTGAACCCATCAGACAGCCTGCTGATGAAGGAAGAGCCTGCCCAGATGCTGTGGAGAAAGAACCCTGTAATCTCAACAAAAACTGTTACCACTATGACTACAATGTCACAGGTAAGCACTCCATCATGTCTTCACAGAGTGTGGAGCCTAGTCACATATAAATCAGCTCCAGACAGTCTCATATGCTTAGCCCAGCTACACTGTGTCATTTGGAGACACAGTTTACCCTCTGAGCAATGACATGAAGAAGTGGTAATCTGTTTTATTTTTTTGATAAATATCAAAACACAGAGAATAAAAGTATCACAAAGACTATTTTTTTGAAATATGTGGTAAATATTCCAGATAATCCTATTTAAAATCTTCTCCCACTTTTGGAAGGTGTAACTATATTTTCCTTTTTAGCAGATGTTAGCTATAACACCTACATCAATAGTTTTGGGGGTGCAGCAACATTTATGAAGAACATTATCATGATGTAAAATTCTGTAATCTTAAAAATAAATATTCAAAAAAGTAGACTTGTGATAAGTTACATTCATTTCCTCAATTTTATATAATATTGTCAAAGCATACACATCAAAAATATTTCATTGGTTCCTTTGGTTTGGAACAACATCAAAGCTAAGTTTTTTTCCCAAGTAATTTCCACATAGAAACAAGCTCAAGAAATTGAAAACAGAAACATAACAGTCACACTAGCTTCTGTTTCTTAGTTTTCACTCCAATTTGCTTTGATGACTCAAAGAAAATCAAAGTTCTCTAGAATGTTTCCTAGCCCAGAGAAAGATGAAAGTGATTTTTGCAAAAGATGCAAAATAAGAGAATTTAATAAATATTCTGAAGTTATTTGTGAAATAAATGATTTTGCATGTTTTAAAAACTCAAACTTATGAAAATAAATGAAGAATATGGTATTAGTATAACTAGAGTACCATCCATTAAAATTATGCCTGCTTTGCTAAAAGAGACATAATAGTAAATTTTTAAATTCTACTCTTTCTTGAGAAAAAAATTTTGAAATGGTATTGCTCTATAGAGCAAGACCATTTTTACAATATCACTAAATAGCTGGCCGTCGAGATTGTCAAGTAGACAACTGACTTAAAGAATAATCCCCAACACTATGTGCAACCGCAGCAATTCCATTTGACTTCTAATATGTTCAGTGCTGGGACCCATATGCTCTGCATGTGAGATGATTGATTGTAAGGCTTAAGAAAAGCAGTTGTAAATTAGGTATGGGATTCGGGTCATCAGAGTTTCATCCGAAATCTGTTCACGCATCGCCTTCTGTTCTGATGGGTGTTTTCTGTTCAGACTGGAGTACATGCCAGCTGAGTGAGAAGGCAGTGTGTGGAAACGGCATTAAAACAAGGATGCTGGACTGTGTTCGAAGTGATGGCAAGTCCGTTGACCTGAAATATTGTGAAGAGGTGGGTGAGTGCTGTGTTAAATCTTTCTAGGAAATTCTTCCCTACTAATTTAAATTCACATGGAGCCAAGTGACGTGTGCTCCAAAGAGCACATGGCCAACAGCTGTTTTCACAGGCTGTCTAGTGCCCTCTTGAAAAGAGACAGTATCCACACTCCTGATTTCCACAGACAATTTCCTGTATTTTGTTCTGCTTGAAGCCCAAAGGTATGCTAATTAGCCCATTCTGGAAGAAATGCTTAGGAAACAATAAGCAATCAAGGTGAATAAAGGCAATAAATCTTAATCAGACCACTCATCATCTTTTGTAATTTGATGTGAATTGGGTGCAGAGCTTGGACACCTGCCAATATCCATCATTTATTCTTTCTGTTGCTAAACATTGATCACATGCAGTTTCATAGCAGATTTTGATATTAAGATCTGATAGCCAGCTGTGAGAATGTAAGTACTTAGGTCTCATGTCTGGATAAGAAAACTTAATGTTCAATTGAAGAAATGAAGTCTGTCACCATTATCTTGAGTGTAGTTTATAGTTAATCGTTGAATATAAGTAATGCCATCACTCTTAGCTAATGACCTTCTGAGCAGTACAGAAATATGACACTGACATTTCTTTTCATGAAGCTTTATCTTTTACTGAGTTTTGTCTGATTTCCAAACCAAAAAGGCAATGGTGTTCCTGTGGTTTAGCTCACTGTGCTTCTGAGATCCACAGGATTATATTCAGACCAAACTATGGGCTTCAGTAGATCTGAAACACCAGTGAACTTAACTCTTAAGGAAAAGCCATTCGTGGAACTACTTGAAGCTACTTAGTGCCATTGTCAAGTGCAGAGAACTTCAACTTCTTTATATCTCTGTCTATAGGGATAGATTTTCAGATGCTCTAAAAACATCAAATTATTTAGTTAGTAAATGCCTGTCACTAAAACCTTGTGACATGAGTCAACTTATCCATATGTTATGTTAAAGTATTTAAACTAATACCTTTTAAGCAATATAACCATCATTAAATAGCACTTTTGTGAGTAAAGATTATTGCAACAATCACAAATTTCCCAGAGTTGTCTACGATCTAGCACAAGCTAATGGTGAATGTAGTCTCCTTTGTAAGTGCCTGGTGAGGTCCCCTCCTTACAAGAACATGCACTGAGACTTCTGTGAAAGGGGAGCCCAAAGCATCTGAGACTATTATAAACAACTTCATATCATGTGAATTCTGCAGTAACAACTGCAGGTTCAAATCCAAACATCCTGGCAAATTCTGGCTTCAGGGAAAGCTAAGCTACTCTCTGTGGGGATTGAACAGCACACATACCATTTTACACATCCCTGTGAATCCAGCTGGCTCCACAAACCACTGTGCTGTCTTTGTAAACAACAGTCAGACCACCCACCTATCAACCCCTGTGCAAATCCTGCATTCAATTCAGCAGCAGTAGGTAATTCTTGCTGCTTCCTTAATAGCCACAAAGAAATGTGTCATTACTGCCCAGCAAAGAGGAAAATTAGGGTTAAATTCACTTGCATTTATATAGTATATTTCTCCCTTTGGTGTATTTGAGGGTTTTTTTAACTCATTTAATACCTAGTCATTGTGTTTCCTTTTCTATTCTTTAAAACTTAAATTTCCTTAGAAACATATTTACATAAATAGATGGATTGATTCAGGCAAATGATATGCATGGATAGATAGATAGATAGAAAGATAGATAGATAGATAGATAGATAGATAGATAGATAGATAGATAGATAAGAGACAGACAGAGAAATAGATGGAAGAACAGAGGAACAGAGTAAAAAGATGAAATAAATATCAGGATAAGGAAACAGAGAGCTTTAAAGTATAATTAACGGAGAACCAAAACACTCTCTCATGAAGTAAGTCAGTAACAGTTGGTTCTGTGTTCAATGCTTCCTAATGAAGATACAGCAAGCATATCGTAAATGTTTCACATCACGTTCACCCTATCACCCCAAGATTTATTACCCCACCCTTCTTTATTTCTTAAAAAATCTTTTTTTTTTAATTTAGTGACCTGGAGTAGTTTTAAATCCCAAATGCTTGAGTCTATCAAGTATATCTAATGTGGTTTATAGTGGGGAGCCTGATGAAGAATGCAGTGTACAAAAAAAAAATGTTGATCTGATCCTCACACTGAATAACAAAGATTTAAGTATAGCTAAAACTCATTGCAATGATTAGAAAATATTTCTTTGTTATTTCAGCTATTTGGTTAGAAAATACAAATGAAGGGTGATGGTGGCAACACCTTAATCCCAGCACTCAGGAGGTAGAGAGATCTCCATGAGTTCAAGACCAGCCTGGTCAACAGAGTAAATTCCAGTACAGCCAGAGCTACATAGAGAGACCCTGTCCCAAACAGAAAGAAAGAAAGAAAGAAAAAAAGAAAGAAAGAAAAAAGGAAGGAAGGAAGGAAGGAAGGAAGGAAGGAAGGAAGGAAGGAAGGAAGGAAGAGGGGGGAGGGAGGAAGAGAGAGAGGGACGAGGGAGGGTACAAATGAAGATACTCATATCAGAATACAAAGCGTTAGGCTTCATTATGATAGTTCTCATATTTCCTCAGATTCTCTTGCTCCCTCTTGCACTCTCCCACCCCCCATAACCTCCTTTTCTCTTTTATGTCAGGAGTCCCTTTGCCTCCCTCTCCTTCTCAGCATTTCTCATTCCATTCTCAGGGTCTCTTGTCTACTGTCATACTCGGTACTCACTCTGAGCACCACATGTCTACCTAGGTACATTATTAAAGGTTTGAACTTCTTTTTGTGTAAAAGAACAAAGGTTTGACAGTTCTGAGAATTACCAATAAAAATTTTTGTCTTCCTTCTATAATATTAATATTTTATATTTTAATGCTAAAGTATACCCGGGACTTCACTTCAAAGGTTGGAATATATGGCATAAGAATTTGAAGCTTTATCTTGTACTTTTAAACTATAATATGTAAGTCACAATGACAGTCCCAAAATACAAATAAAATGGTACATTATGAGACACCAAACACGCACACGCACGCACACACACACACACACACACACACAAACTGTTATACTAAAGAAATTCATAGGAAGAAATTCATTACAAAACATTTATATTCAATACAGTCAACACATTGCTGAGGATCCCCATTTTTTAAATATATTTATTCTTTTAAATTTCATTTTACATTCCAATCACAGTCTCCTTCCCACCACTCCTCTCATCCCCGTTGTCTCCCCTACACCTCAACCCTAGTCCATACCTCCTCACAGGTACGGGGTCCCATGAGGAGTTAACAAAGTCTGACACAATAGGTTGGGGGGTCTAAGCCCCTCTCCCATGCACACATTCAGGCTGAGGGAATGGGTTCCAACAACCTAGTTCATGTACCAGGTTTTTATCATGGTGGTCCTACTGACAGGGACCCCTCAGACAGTCTAACCTTCACAACTATCTCCCACATACAGAGGGTCTAATTTGGTCCCACGGAGGTTCCACAGCTGTTGGTCTAGAGTTCATGAGTTTCCAGGAGCTTGGTTCAGCTGTCTCTGTAGATTTCTCCATCATGATCTTGACCTCCTTTGCTCATAGGTTCCCTCCTCCCTCTCTTTGACTGGATTTCTGGAGCTGGGCCTGGGGCTTCATTGTGAATCTCTGTGTCTGCTTACATTGATTACTGGATTAAGGCTCTATGATGATAGTTGGGGTATCCACCCTCCTGATTACAGGAGAAGGCCAGTTCCTCTCCACTATTGCTAGGAGTCTTGTCTGGGGTCCTCCCTGTGGATTCTTTTTTTGTTTGTTTGGTTGGTTGGTTTTTGGTTTTTTACGAGACAGGGTTTCTCTGTATTGTTTTGGAGGCTGTCAGTCCAGCCCAGCCTGGAACTCACAGAGATCCGCCTGCCTCTGCCTCCCCAGTGCTGGGATTAAAGGCGTGCGCCACCACCGCCTGGCTCCCTGTGGATTCTTGGGAATTATCCTAGCACCAGGTTTTTCCCTAACCCTTAGTGACTCTCTCTATTAAGATACATCTTTCATTGCTCTTCCAATTCATCCCTCCCAATCTTGACCCTCCCATTTCCTCATGTTCTCATCCCCTTCCCCCATCCAGTATTACCCCTGTCAACTTTTACCCCTCATCTAATTTACCTTCCCAGAGAGATCCATGTGTTCCTCTTAGGGTCATCCTTGTGGAGCTGTGAATTGTAGTCTAGTTATGCTTTCCTTTACATCTAATATCCACTTATGCATACCATGATTGTCTTTCTGAGTCTGGGTTACCTCACTCATGATGTTATTTTTTTTTCTAGTTCCATCTATTTGCCTGCAAATTTCATGACATCATCGTTTTTCCAGCTGAGTAGTACTCCACTATGTAAATGTACCACACTTTCTTTATCCATTCTTCAGTTGAGGGGCATCTAGGTTGTTTCCAGGTTCTGGTTATTACGTATAATGCTGCTATGAACATTGTTGAGCAAGTGTCCTTATGGTATGATTGAGCAGAGGACCTACCTTTATTTTGAGAAAGATGGCTTACTGCACTTACATTTCTATCCAAGCATTGTGGTACATGTATAAATCAAGCTTATTCAGGAAGATTGAAAGTTCAACTCCGGCATTGGCTGCAAAGAACGTTTTAGTACTTTCTAGTGTACATAGAAAAACTGAATTACCAGAAAACAAAAAAGTCAATGCCTTCATTCATTCATTCATTCATTCACCCAATTTCAATGCTCAAGAGACTAAATTCAGAGCCTTTTAGATAGTAACCATGCACTCTATAGCTGAACTACACCACAGCTCCCAAACTGTTCTTTGATTTTTTTTCCAGTAAATTTTTCTTTGGTTTTAAGTGGCAGTTTGTCTTTAAAAACATTTGACTATTCAGTTTAACATGTCTACATAAAAACAAATAGCATCAGGAAGATAAAATTATAGGTCTATATATGGATGGTATTTGGGGTTTTGAACTATCACAAGACAGTTTCATGTATACTTCTTTATTCTTCTTACAGGGACAGTCAACTAATTTGTAGATTAATTGTACTTTTTTACGATTTATGGAAAATGTTAACATGGTACATAGCTGTATAGAGTCAGTATACCCCTGAATTCACCTTCTGTCCTTGGCCCCTACTTTGTTGAGTTGAACCATTTTATATTCTTAATAGTTTGGATAACTGTTGACTTTCCAGTAGCTTTCTGTGGTTCCAGGCAGCTGTCTTTCCTCCCTTCCTCTCATTCCCTCTGACTCCCCCCAGTCAGTCTTCTCTTCTTGCCTGGAGCCTCCACATCTCCACTGCTCTCCACATGCTCTGTTTTCCTCTTCCACCTCTCTCCTCCCTTTTTATTCCTTTTTCTACTGACAATGCTCATGGTCCTGTCTCCCTGCCGATGTAAACATACCTGCCTCTCCTCTTTCAGCTGGGCCTAGAGAAGAACTGGCAAATGAGCATGTCCTGCATGGTGGAATGCCCTTTGAACTGCCAACTTTCAGACTGGTCTTCTTGGTCAGAGTGTTCTCAAACATGTGGACTCACAGGTTTGTTTATGTTGCAATTAACATTAGCCTATTGGTCAAGCCACACCAAGCAAAATACCACTCTTGCAGTAAATGATATCAGGTGAGCTCCAAAAAGGTGTCTTCCTTGTGAAAACATGTGAGGCTCTTCTGCTCCAGGGCCTCCTCAAGAAAGACATCTATGTTACTTTCTCCCAATAACATATCCATTAATTTGTGCAATGATAACATCACACTGAAGTTGTATCATTGTATATCTTTAAAGGAAAAATGATTCGAAGACGAACAGTGACACAGCCCTTTCAAGGTGATGGGAGACCCTGCCCTTCCCTGATGGAACAGTCCAAGCCTTGCCCAGTGAAGCCATGCTACCATTGGCAGTATGGCCAGTGGTCTCCATGCCAAGTTCAGGTATCAAATCTCAGGAAGATACGTTGGTGTGGCATTCTTCATCTGCTAAGAGTTGGTTCTAGAAATAATTTTTTTTTTGGTTTTTCGAGACAGGGTTTCTCTGTATTGTTTGGAGGCTGTCCTGGAACTCACTCTGTAGACCAGGCTGGCCTCAAACTCACAGAGATCTGCCTGCCTCTGCCTCTGGAGTGCTGGGATTAAAGGTGTATGCCACCAACACCAGGCCTAGAAATACTTTTGAGTTAGAGAGGTGGTAGCTTTTCTCATAAACATTTAGTGACTTTGACACTTCCCAATCTTTTAATTAGTTTTGATAGCAAGCACCCCCTGTCCTGTACTTTTAAAATCATTTGGAGACTGATTCATTTTAATGAAAATTTATTTGCCTGTCTTTGTCTTGGAAGCACATAAATTGTTTCATGTATGTTTTATAGCATGTGCCCTACAAGGCTTCTTCCCTGGGGTTTCCAATGTTTCTCTAGATATTCATAAATCAAAATCAGTGATGCAGAGATGACTACAAGCAGTGAGCTTGCTAATGAATTATTTTTCCTTTTCTAATTAGCTGTTTCTCCCTCCATTCCAGGAGGCTCAGTGCGGAGAAGGAACCAGGACACGAAATATTTCTTGTGTAGTGAGTGATGGCTCAGCTGATGATTTCAGCAAAGTTGTGGACGAAGAGTTCTGCACTGACATTGAGCTCATTGTAGATGGTAATAAACAGATAGTTCTGGAGGAAACCTGCACCCAGCCCTGCCCAGGTAACAACAGAACAGAATTCATACTTTGGAGACATCTTCCTAGAAGCAGACAAGAAGAGGTTATGTACATAGTCCAAGTGAAGGGTATCAACAGTCTTATTTAGTAATACCTGTACTAACAGCATAGCACCATACCCATGGGTCAGAGACCACTGCATTGCTGCAAGGAACAATGTCTCTACTACCCTGAGCTGCATCTCCACCCCTCTGCTATGTATCTTGAAAGGTAGACAGATTTGACTCAGTGTCTTTTAAAGAGTAGAATATGAATTGGAAAAAAAACATTTTTCATCGCTGGCAGGTATGGTATAAATATATTACCCCAGTAGATTTGGTCAAAATATAAAAGTGTGTTTAATACTAGGAGTGCTTCACTCCCATATTGTTATTAAATCTTGACATGGATATTTCAAGATGATGATTATGTAATGAATAGACTGCAGCAACATAAAATTATTGGATTTCTCTGCAAATGCATGATGATATCAAATAAAGATACATAGAGAGATTAAGCTACTCACACAAAAAAGAGAGATTAAATTTCCATTCAGTTTGTAGTCACTTGGGTAAAGTTATAACATTGGCAGTATATTTTTAATTTTTACCCATATCAGGTTTTCCTGATAAATTCTGGGTAACCCAATATGTGGCAATTCAGACATACAAGCATTTCTATAACTTTCTTAAATTTGTCTGGTGATTGCTCTTTTACTTGGCATTTTCAAAATGTCCTATTTAAACATGTAATAGATCTTACAAACATGAGTGAGTGAAAATGGGAAATGCAAAAGGGTATATATGGTATATAAAATATGGTATAATCATGTTACACCAGGAATAACATGATGGGGTATTTCTGAAGTTCTTGGAATGGCCTGTTCTTGATTAAATGTTGATTGAATCGATATATAATCAGACTGTGGAAACTTGATGTGGATTTATGGTATTTGGCATTTTGCAGGTACTACATATTTTTCTCAAAGGGGGTGTGGTTAAATGGAGATATAGACTAAATTTTGGGCCAAGGTGGGGCTGTTGGCCATACCTTGGGGGAGGACTCGCCATTGATAACATGGCTTGGGTTCTTGGAAGTTTATCTGGGGGAGGCTAAATACAAAGTAGGGTCCATCTTCAGGGTGTAACTGGATAGTGAAAAAGCAGTCCTTATATCTATGATTATTTTGTAGTATCCATGAGGGACGACCGTTGGGGAGGGAAGGCCTTTGTTTATAGTGTAGAGATCTTGTAAGAGTCTCCATTTTCCAGATTTTTTATTATTTAAAAAAATAGGGGTGTTCCAGGGAGAGTTGGAGGGGATGATTTTTCCAGCCTGTAATAGTTCCTGCACTAAACTCGAGGCTGCTAAGAGTTTTTCTTTGGTGAGTGACCATTGATCGACCCAAATGGGTGTGGAAGATTTCCAGAAGATTTTGTCCGCATGGGGAGTTTGGGGTGCAGCTTGAACAATGACATTAATTAGATAGGGTAGCCTAGACCAGTTTTGTCTCGTTTGGGGGTTGTTTGAATTGGTTGATGTATCTCCTGGCCATGTGGTCCAAGACCCTGTCGGGGAGGAATCCTTGATTTAGCATTTGTTTGGCAATTGTATCATTGGGTGAAAGCATATAGACTTTCATCTGAGACAAAAGGTCTCGCCCCGTAAGTTAAAGAGGAGGCCGGGGATGACATAGGGCTGGAGGGTCACAGAGTTGCCTCCTTGGTCCCTTCCAAGTAAGAAGTTTAGCGCTTTGTTCAGGATTGGCGGTTCGTCCTATTCCCTGTAGGTGGGTAACAGTATCAGTAAGGGGCCAAGATTTTGGCCAGTGAGTGAGGGAGATAACAGAAGCATCTGCTCCAGAGTATAAAAGGCCAGAGAAAGGCTTTCCATCAAGGAAGAGGGTCAAGGTAGGGCGGGACTGGGTGATTTCTCAGATCCAGAAAATGTCTGAAGAACCAAAGTGAGGGGAGGTAGGGTGAGAGACTTTATAAGGGTTATGGGAAGCATGGGGACTATGGGGTAACAAAAATGAGTGGGGCAATCTTTTGTCCTTTATGGATGTAACGTACGCCTTCTACAGCGGTTACCAATAGTTGAATTTGAAAGGGGATTGGGGGTCTACAACTCCAGGAAGGACTTGTGTACCATGCAGGGTGGAAGATGCACATCCCAGAATAAAACTGAATGTGTCGGGTGGCAAGGGGCCCACTATGACCGTGGGTATGGTGACTATTCGGTTCTCTGGCACCAGTATTGTGTCGGAGGTGGGACCGAGTTCCAATCCCAGTCTTGATTTTGTTCCTTGCCAGAGCAAGATAATTGAGAGTGGGGGAGCTGAGGAATGGGATTCTGTGGCCCAGGAGCTCCGGGGGCCATCGTTTGGGGGTCCCAGAGCAGCCCCGAGAGGGGGTAAAGGCTGTCCATAAATGTTGGTGGCAGAGAGGCATTCATTGTGCCAGTGGCGTCCACGGAGGCATCTAGCACGGGGGCAGTGGGCCGAGGGCGATGATGGGGGAAGGGGGTAGAAGTGGCATCTGTGGGCTTGATGATCCTGACTTGAGTAGATTTAGGGTACGGGCATTCTCTTGTAAAGTTACCCGGTTGTTCACAGTTAAAGCAATTTTTTGAAGTATTGTGGGCGAGGCCTGCCTTTTGTAAGGCAGCCCCTATAGGAAGGCCGATAGCATGGCTAGAACCGGCGCCAGCACAAAGGCAGACTTAAGTATATAGAGGCTCCTTTTTATGATGTTTTAGGATGTCCTGACAGGCTGGGTTAGCATTTTTAAAGGCTAACTGTTTAATAAATGGGTCTTTGGTGTCGGTAGCGCTGAAGAGGCGTTTAGCCGTTTCTGTGAGTCTACTTATGAAGGCACTATAGGGCTCATCAGAGTTTTGGATAATTTTAGACAGAGAGGCAAAAGTAGTTCCCTTAGGGGGAAGTTTGTGCCAAGCACCTAGCCCTCCTTGGCGAATTTGTGCTAGCAGTCCCGTGGGAAAAGCGGCTTGAGCTTCTAGGGTGTGATGAGGGGAATTACCTAAAATTTTATCTGTAGTCCAAGTCCTGGACTCTGCGTGTGACTGGTTTTTTGGTGCCATGTCACGGGCTAGTTCAGCAAATTCTGACTTCCCAAGGACAAAAGCACCCCAGGAAAGGGTGGCCCAAGCCAAATGATGTCATTCATTAGGTGTGAGCCAGGCTTCAGTGATATTCTCCAAGAGGGCCAATGTTGCACCTGCTGTGCGGCCTGCATCCAAGAATGTAGCGAAGTGGTCGGGATAGATGACACAAAGACCGGTCGGTTGCTTTAAGAAAACTTTATATTTCCCAAGTCAGCTTAGGAGGAGACCCCAGTCCGCTTAGGAGAGCTCTCAGGCGAAATCTCAGGAGAAGTCTCCCCAAGAAAAAGGGCTTCCCTTTTTAAGGACTCCTGCCATTCATCTACATACCATTCTTTCCTCCTGGCTGGTGGTCTAATCTCTGGCCCCAGAATCGGGGAGACACCCCAGGGAAACAGGAAGAGGCATCTAGCCATAGGAGGTGTGAACGGCATGGTATTTCAGTGAGCCAGCCCTTATCTGAGCCCTATCAAGCTTTAAAGCACTGAATTGTTTTCAGTAAACATTACATAGATGCCTGCTCCCAGGCCGAAGGGGAAGTGGGTTTCTGCTCAAGGTCTGGTGTCCCCACAATTCACCCCTTTTTATTTTTAAATGAGGCACTCCTGTCTTAGGTCAAGTAGGGTCACCCTCCCTGGCCCGTCTTTGGGGGACCTTGAACCCCTGTTAGGTGGGAGTGGGTCTTCCCCACAAGTTGCCCGTCATAAGAGCGCCCCAACTTTAAAATCATTTGTAATAAGGCTTTATGGCTATAGGGATTGCCATGGGCTAAGGCACTTTGAACTCAGCATGAAGCCAGAACGCCTACTGCCACTGTTACCATTCCTAGGACCCCCACTGACATAGCGCCTCTCTGTCACCTGCCCATCCCCCCGATCTGGGCCATAGCATTCTACCACCAGCCTTTCTTTGCTACAAGGGTGATTTATAGTTACAATTTGAAGGTCAAAACAGTGATAAAGTTTACAATCATTTCAAGATCTACTCAGGAAAGCATTAGAGAGTGCACTTGCACAGATACATTAGGTACAATCATCGATGTTACACATGTAGCATTATAAAAAACATGAACAAGAGGCTTGTTGCACTATTTACAGAGTACCAATTTGTTCCTGTGGTGATGTAGTCTGTCGATTTAATGTCAGTAGTATTAGCCGAACATGCAACCTGAGTCAAAGTCTTTTTGTCGCACCAGGACAAACCACATTTCTCCAGAAAAACACACTGTGATTCCAGAAACAGGAACTACCGAGTCTGATATTTCAAGTGACCATGTCCTGTTCAAATACTGAAAAAAGGCTTTTGCCATTCATCACAGTCCATACCAATGTCCAAATGTTTTAAATGGGTCTTTTTTCCCCCAAAGGGAAAAGCTGGCAAAATGAATTCTGTTGTTTTAAGGTGTATCAAAGGCTAGCTGCTAATCTTCCAGTTTTGTTGGCTTTGGGATGAAAACTCACGGGTCCAGGAGGTTGATGTAGCAAGCCTGATGAGACACTGGAAATCTCGAACTGACTGTTTTATTTCTTTCTCGGGCTGTAGATTTGATGACATCAAGGGTCAGGAGCACTGATTTAGGAGATCTCGAACTGGCTTGAGCAGGCTCCCACGGTCTCAGGTCCAGTTTTTTCTGCTCCATGCATCTCACCAGATGTTGTGACCGCTACTGAAGCTTTATTCTTTTCCTGTAAGAAAACACAAACATGCCCTCGACCCCAAATTAGGGTCTTCTCTACTGTCTAGTGTATGGATGTTTCCATTTGGCCTGAGTAATAGTTATTTAACTTTCATTATGTTAGAATCTGTCTGAAGCAGATTCCTCACTGGCATTTATATTTTATAAATATTTAAATGAGGAGTGGATTATTTAATGAATCATGTGGAGACTGGGGACATTACTCCCTTTTATTTTTAAATTTTGTTTGAACTGTTGAAGTTGGACCATAACAGTAGAAGGATTTGTCTACCCTCCTTAGTCAACTATCTAGGTGAATTGGGATCACTATTTAAAGTATTAGTAGATGTCCTTTAAAAGGGACATAACCATTAAGTACCTTTGAGAATCATTTAAGGATTGTAAACTATACTATGTCCCAAATAGTCCTTTTTTTTTTTCTAACCTGTAGCTCTCACTAGCTGACAAGGCCTCATTTGCATCTGAGCTGACAAGGCCTAATTTGCATCTACACAGACACCTTTGGGGGTGGGGGCCTGCCAAAGCGGCAGGACAGTTCCCTGAAAAAAACCTCTCTTTCTCTCTCTCTCTCTGACTGGCTCTGAGGGCTTAACTTGAATTTTTTTGTTAAAATATTAACCGACTGACTGGATGTTTCTTTTGGCTATATCTAAATCGATTTAGGTAGTTTTTAACTGTTTGAAGGGATTTAAGTATCCCTTTAATCATATCCAAGGCAATTAGAACAGTTGCTTTTGTCAACATTCACGCATTTACATTTCACACTTCATACATACTGACGTGGCCACGTCCATACACACAGACCATGCATACATATCTCTCCTTGCCTAGGTTATGATTAGTTTGTTGAACTGAAACTTCTTTAACAGAACAACTCCAGTCAATCTTTTAATTAAAACTAAAGGTTGAAAAAGTCCTGTATGTCCCTCGTCATTTCTTCATTAGAGAAGTTTTGAGCTACACTCAGGGGCTACAGCCATACCCACTCCTTGTAATTCTGTAGATGCAAAGTGGAAAGGCCAGGCTTTTGCCAAAAGTTTTTAGAGATGACTCACAAAATTGACCTTAAATTTGTATCAATAACCTACCCCATATAAATGTAACCAAACATTTTTATTTTATATACCTTTGTCTTTTTCTTTACTGAATACTAACATCTCACTTATTAACTTTACCAATTTTTTTTAATTTACCCATCTTTAATCTATCCTCCCATTGAGGATGATCCTCCAATCCACCCTCCAACTGAGGGCAACTTCTTATCTTAGGTTCCCTTTTTTTCCTGACCTTTGTTAAGTGAGGACCTAGACATTTAATCCAATCCACCCTTTAACTGAGGGTGATCTCTTAGGTTCCCTTTTTTTTTTCTGACCTTTGTCAGGCAAGGTCCTAAACATTTAATCTGGTACCCCTAGCTTGGTACCCCCTTTTTAATACATCCTTATAGCCTTACTTGTTGGCCAGTCTTTTAAATCTCTCAGTTTTCCTTTACTTTCCTGACCTCAGTGGATCAGGTGAAAGACTGGAGATTTCTTATTTTACCCTCCTTTTTTTTTTTTTTTTTTTTTACTGGGTTTCTCTCTATCCTTTTGGAGGCTGTCCTGGAACTTGCTCTATATACAAGGATGGCCTCCATCCTACCTACCTCTGTCTCTCGAGTGTTGGGATTAAAGGCATATGCCACCAACACCTGACTCTAAAGATCATAGTGAACATCCTTCCAATCTGGGACATTTAAGTCTCCCCCAGTAATGAACCATGGACTCGCACGTTCAATCCATTTTAAAAAGCCTTCCAAGGTTTTAGACTTTACTGTAGTCCCATGTCCTTCAAGTAACTTTTTAACTTGATACTGTAATTCGAGCTTCCCAGAACTATTCCCCATGGTTTCTTTTCTTTTTTTTTTTTTTTTTTTTTTTCCCCAATCTTTCCCTGGCCAGAAAAAGAAACGAACCCGCTCACTTACCTCGCTTTCATGATCTCGGTGGGATCCTCCAATTGTCTCACCTGCTGTGCGGCCTGCATCCAAGAATGTAGCGAGGTGGTCGGGATAGATGACACAGAGACCGGTCGGTTGCTTTAAGAAAACTTTATATTTCCCAAGTCAGCTTAGGAGGAGACCCCAGTCCGCTTAGGAGAGCTCTCAGGCGAAATCTCAGGAGAAGTCTCCCCAAGAAAAAGGGCTTCCCTTTTTAAGGACTCCTGCCATTCATCTACATACCATTCTTTCCTCCTGGCTGGTGGTCTAATCTCTGGCCCCAGAATCGGGGAGACACCCCAGGGAAACAGGAAGAGGCATCTAGCCATAGGAGGTGTGAACGGCATGGTATTTCAGTGAGCCAGCCCTTATCTGAGCCCTATCAAGCTTTAAAGCACTGAATTGTTTTCAGTAAACATTACATAGATGCCTGCTCCCAGGCCGAAGGGGAAGTGGGTTTCTGCTCAAGGTCTGGTGTCCCCACAGGCCAAAGTAAAAGGGGCAGTTGGACCATAGTTGAAGACATCAGTTTTTAAGTTTTCAATGACTTTGAGATCTAGGGCTGTATATTTCATGGGGGAGGGAGGTAAGTGGAAGTAGGGTCTCCAGGCGAAGCTCCTGATGTGGCCGGGACAGGGGCCTCATCTTCCTCCTCAGAATCGCCCTCTGGTTCTGGGCCAGAGGAACTTGATTGCCACTTTGAAGGGTGAGTGGGAAAGGCCAGGAGTAACCCTGAGGTCTTTGGTCTTTTCTTTTTTAACAGTGTAGGCAAGGGGGCTATTGCTAAAGAGGATAACTGGGAGTCCAGGTCTTGCAGTTGGGTCAGGAGTTGGATTTGTTGCTGGCAGTTAGGGATGAGGATTTTAAGGTGTGCTAAGTTAAAGGATGTCTGGGAGTAGAGATTCACAAGTGGTCCTTGTAGGACGGTGTCAGCCAGAGTGGAGGGATAGGGGGTGTTGCAGAGGGGCGTTTTTTGAGGGGGGAATTGAGCAGAAACCAGTCAGGGTTATGATATCTGGCAGCCTCTTCCTCAAGGATGGCAGCATCGCCAGAGTCAAGTGGCTCGTCATTGGGGCTGTTAAGGACGGGATAAATGGAGGATATATTTGGTGTTTCAGGGGGAGGTGGAGACATTTCAATTTTTACCTCCAGACAGGGAGATGAGACAGGCTTGCAATCGTCCTCATGAGGGGGAGACGACTTTATTACCCAACTCTAAAGAATGGTGGGAAGGACTAGGACTGGGGCCACGAGAGATCTGGGGGGTGGGGTGTGGGGTGTTTTGGCGAGAGTATCTTTTAAGGGTTTTTTTTTCTCCCTCTTTGACTAAATCTTGGAGGGTTGGGGAGTGGTCGTGGACACGGAGGATATCTTGATGAGGTTCCAGTAGTTAGAAGCCTCGACAGGGATTTTTTTGGGGCCAAAGGTCTTGTAATAGTTCTGGAGAGTATTTTCCACCCATCTCCATTTTTGACTATAATTGTTCCCTCTTGGGAGAACCAAGGACTAGTATCTCATATGAAAATAAAAAATTTCCTGAGCTGTTTCTTTTTAACCCTATTCCTCACACCTTGAGGGGTTCTTTAATCCCAGAGAGGAAAAGATCCTTTGTATTAAATCCCTGCCCCGTAACTCACCTCCTTCCTGAGATGGTGCTCTCAATCCCGAAGTTCCAGTCACTGGGTAGAGTGAGCGTGGAGATCTCACGGGGTCTTGCAAATGCGTGGTCAGGTCTGACCCTTCCAGAGAGCACTGAGTGGCTCCTCACTGGCCGTTGATTCCCATGCTGGGCGCCAGTTGTCCCAGTCCAGCCGGAACTGAACACGGAGCAGAGACCTGTGAGGAATGAAAATAGTGGGGCAGGAGGCGCGAGAGGAAAGACCACAAGACAGGATTCCGATCAAGTGGCAATTTTATTTTTCTGTTGGGCTAGCGATATAGTTGGTTAAGCAGGTTTGGAGGGGTAGGTTTTGAAGGTAGTTGGCGTGCAGCTGCAAGGAAGGCAGGATGTTAGAAGACCTCAGAAGGAGGATTTCTGGCAGGGTGCAAACGGTGCAGGAGGGGTTGCCTTGTTAACTGTGCCTTGTGGCTAGCCTAAAGGGTATGTTTAGCCTCTGAGGTTGAGTATGAGAGGAAGATTTGTTTCTTGTTAAGGGCAACTGTAAGTTTTCTAGTGAAAGACCTCGGCATCAATGCACCGGGCACTGAACCGAACCCTCTGCCCAAGAACTGGGGCCAGACTACTGGCTGCAAATGCAAGAGGTGATTTATTGAGTACACAGGCGCCTGCGGATGCTACTGCAACTCGGGTGCAGAGCATACCGGGCTTTCAGGGAGTACAATATTTATGGAGTTTTAATGGTTACATAAGTAACAGGCATTTCATTGGCTCATCTTGGGGGCAGGGGTAGTTCCCACGGACTAAGTTTCCTGGTATTACTTTATGAAAGACCCTGGCACACTTCAGCAATTATTATCCGGGTCCCATGACTACTATGGTGATCATAGACACAACTGGGGGCAGGGGTAGTTGCCAAGGACTAGGTGTCCTGGCATTGCCACATAAAAGACCCTGGCACGCTTCAGCAATTATTATTCGGGTCCTATGACTGCTCTGGTGACCACAGATCCTGTTTGACATCCTGCCAGCTGGGCGAGGCACCTGGTCTGGGTTTTCTTTCATTAGGCAACGGCCTGGCCTTGCTTGTCTTTTCCTAGGGGGTCCTGGGTAGGGGTCTTTCACTAGGAACTGGCTGTATAACTGTTCTAATTAGCTTGGTCCTGTGGCCAGAAGTTCTGTATGTCCTAGATGGCAATCTGAGACTGGCTCCCAACAATTAAGACGCATAGAGACTATCACGTCACTCCAATATTTTTATTACATATAAAATAATAGTTATCATTTATCCAAGTATCATAAACATCATTCATAGCTAGCACAGTTGAAATCAAAATGAGTATCTGCATGGCTGTCCCCTATGGGAATAACTTACCAGCATGTTTCTTACAGGTGACTGCTATTTGAATGACTGGTCCTCATGGAGTCTTTGTCAGCTGACCTGTGTGAATGGTGAGGATCTTGGCTTTGGTGGAATCCAGGTGCGATCCAGAGCAGTTATTATACAGGAACTAGAAAATCAACATCTGTGCCCAGAGCAGATGTTAGAAACAAAGTCATGTGATGGTGAGTGCTTCGATTCATGAATTCTATTCATTTAGTTCAACTTTCTGTTGAATGACTGAATTTGTTGGGTTTCTATTTAGATGTGATAATTAAATTAAAATTAATATTCTGAGGGCCCAAGGATGTGAATCAGTAAGTAAAGTGCTTGTCATGCAAGTATGAAGGCCTGAGTTTGAACCCATGAAGACTAGAGGCAGAGACAGAAGAATGTCTAGCAGCTTGAGGACTAGCTAGCCCAGTGTACTCAATAGTAATGGAAGACAGTTATCCCAAACAATGGGGATGACCAACAATCCAGGTTTTCCTGCAACATTCAGATACCTCCAGATGCACACATACACATACACAGAGAAAGAGAGAGAGACAGAGACAGAGAGAAACAGAGACAGAGAGAGAGAGAAATTCTGGTTTTAAAATGTGAAATGTTGTAAAAAATATTTCCTAGATTTAAAAATTACAGAGGCCTAATAGCATCATTGAATATGTATGACACTTATGATCAAACACAAGTCTAACATTTTTATTTGTCTAACAAATGGAAACAAATAACAAAATTAAACACTATAAAACACAGTAAAAATTAGACTCTTTAACATAGTCTAATAAACTGATAAGCAAATTCATTGGTAAGAATTAGCCATGCTAACTTCACAATAATTGGACATAGAGCATCATGTGAATACATGTTCATGTGTGTATTTATGAATATGCAAATATAGAAACATTCCTTCATTATCTGTAGCACACTCCATATCCACAACCTCAGTGCATTATTATGATAGAATTTGGATCATGGTAGTATCTTGATAATGAGAAAAGTCTTGGTATCTAGTGGAGAATGTAAGGCTCAAATCCTTAACTTTGTTCTGTAATGGTTAAGAAATGTGACATATAACAAACAGTAAGTAGGATAGAAAATGTCACCTTATGTTGATAAATTGGAGGAGGAGACCTAAGATGTTGAGAACACTTAGAATGAAACTAATGAACTAATGACTTAACATAAGAATTAGGTAATATTACCTACTTACCTGTCACGTATATGTCAATATAACCTTACTAAATTTACCAACCACATAAAATATTCCCAATTCCTAGAACAGAGTAGGCAAAGAAGTACAGAAGCTTGAGGTTTGCAATTAAATAAATCACAGGTCAAGGTAAAGACAGGTAGGAAGTGATGTAGCTGTGCAGAAAATGCCACTAGCTAACCATAAAGGTCTAAAGGTCTGTACAGACAGGCAGGAAGTGACATTGCTAGGCAGAAACAGAATATAAGCAGGGACAAACAAGAAATCACCTCTATGGTTACATAGTGGAAAATTTCTGCCCAGCTCTGTCATTTCCTGTCTCTCTGTACAGGTCTCCAGACCCCTATTAGCTAGTGGCAAGCTCCATTCTCTGACCTCCAGACAGACTTTATTTGCGCAAGAAAAATATCACCACGCCCCACTTTTTAATTGGATTATTTGGTGTTTTGGTGACTTCTTGTGTTCTTTGTATATGTTGGAAATCAGCCCCCTGTCAGATGTGGGGTTGGTAAGGATCTTTTCCCATTCTGTGGGTTGCCATTGTGTCTTGTTGACTGTGTCCTTTGTCTTACAGAAGCTTTTCAGTTTCAGGAGGTCCCATTTATTAGTTGTCAATCTCAGTTTCTTTGCTACTGCTGTTACATTCAGGAAGCGGTTTCCTATACCAATTAATTCAGAAAGCTGTCTCCTATCCAATTTATTCAAGGGTACAGTTGAATATATTTTAGAGTTTGTTATTCTCTGTATGTGTCTATATGTTCCATTTCCAGTGTACTAAAAAACTATACAATTTTAGAAATAACCATAAATTAAGTTAGACATCCAGGGTCTGACATGGTAGCAGGATAGAAGATGTAGAACATTAATGGGGATTTAGGTTGATAACTGAAGTTTTATCAAACTTGTTTTGCAACTTCAAGGCAGTCCACTGGCATTGCAATCCTCAGCAATAGACTTCATGTCACCTTTTAGTTGTTCACACGTGTGTTGATAATTCTCTGTCACGGTGGCCCTGAGTAATGAAACATCAGTGCTTGCTCTGTGCCTGCAGATGGACAGTGCTTTGAGTACAAGTGGATGGCGAGTGCTTGGAAGGGCTCCTCTCGAACAGTGTGGTGTCAAAGGTCAGATGGTGTGAATGTAACAGGTAAAACACCAATATTTTGTCTTTCTGAATCTATTCCTCTGATACATATATAGTCAAATACTGAAAGAAACTCAGCTGTTTACAGTGTTGGAATCAAGAAATTTGTGCTATACACATGTGTGTTGTCCAGTGACAAATTATTTTTGTTTTAAAATGTCTCAAGTTCTCTCTTACCTATCACCTTTGGACATTAGAATATATCTAATTGAAGCACTGCTCAAGACTAATAAATGAATATAAGCTGTTTCCTGATTTTTCCTAGAGATTTTATACATTACAAATTATTATATACAAACAAAATAATAATTATGGCTTTTACTGTTTCTGCTTCTGTGCTTTGAAGATGATACAGATCAAGGTATTATGCACATATAAACATAATCTGCCTGAATTATCAAATCTATTATTAAGATAATTTTGATTAATAAGAAAGATTTATCAGTAATTCAAACCCAGACCATCTGAGAGGGTGGTCTTTGGGTTCCGGTTGTGTCCCAGAAAGCAGCATGCAGACCTTTGGTTCTCGGTTTTCTTCACATCTCACATAAGTGATTTCTCCATTAATAAAATATCATAGGACATGCATATTTTGTGTAGCTTAATATTTCCACAAGAGCTATGTCCCCATCACAAAGGATTATTATACTTCCAAAGAAGAAAATCGGAACAAGAAGATTTCAAAGATATCTCCAGTGGACTTCTTTAATCTGCAAGCTCTTTGTGAATTCAGTGAAGTCAAGGGCTTATTCCAAACACCTATTAAAGGGAAAAGAAACTTCAGGCTGATTATGCATTGAATACTCTGCAAATTTCATGGAAAAAAATCAAGGTCAGAAGCAGAAACTCAATTTCAGACACATAAACACAAATTTAACGTTTTTTTCTTATCATTATAATAATAATTTAGTTGTTGGGAATCTCCATGTCAGAGGCAGTAGGGGTATTGACTGTAAGCTGCCCAGGGCACCTGGTGACTTGGGGCTCTTGCTTCAACTCTTCTGCAAGAAAAACAAAGTAGTATGTGCCAGGGTGCCCCTGGACAACTCCACTTGTGAGCTAGCTTTCATATATGCAATGAGATCCAGGATCAATGAGCTTCTTGGAAAACATCAATTTTTATATTGAGTTTCAAGTGACCCAGGTTTATTGAAACCTAATTACTTATTCCTTCCCCGTGAAAGCCAGAACAGAATGTCAAATTATATTCTTATGAAGACAGTATCTTTTGTGAATAAAAAAATAGCAAGAAGCCTTTGATAATAGCATCTCCCAGTGGACGTGCAATATATAATAGAAACCACTCCTACCAGGAAGCTCTTCACTGTCTTAGCAGTATTATTTGGGGAAGGAAAACAGTGACCCTGAACTCCATTCGAAGAGGACTGGTTGATAAAAAGCACAGACAGGGAAGTGTAGTCATCCTAAACCAGGTGTTGCAGATGTCATTCACTTAACTCAGATCCTGGGAAGGAATGTATATCATTCTTTAAGTGATTCTTAAGGAAACTGATAGTTTCCTAAAAGGTTTTATTTCATTGAAGGTTTTTTTTCTCAGATCCTGGGAAGGAATGTATATCATTCTTTAAGTGATTCTTAAGGAAACTGATAGTTTCCTAAAAGGTTTTATTTCATTGAAGGTTTTTTTTCTTTCAAATATAGAAACCAAGAATATTTTTCTGCCTTTTTTCTTCTAACACTATTGTTTTCCTACTGCAACTGATACTATTCCCCAAATCGAAGTTAAGTCAAAATTTAGATTCATCAGTAAAAATCACACTTTAAATTTATTTCAGTACAACAAAGTGGATATACAATTATTTTTCTCTGTTATCAATAAAGTAATGTGAAACAACTTATGACAAATACTGGATGCACTCTGCTTCCACCGTTTAGATGATTTTTCCCTATGAAAACAGATGTAAAGTGCATTGTCTATGTGTATCAATAGCTTTAATTCCTAGATTGTCTCATCTCACAAGAAAGCAATGAAACTGTTTTCCTTTCCCTTCATATGTTTAGATAGTGTGGTCACTAAACTGCATTTGTCTTGCAATGACTAACTGCTTTTGTGACATGATAGCTTTTTATCTTAATTGTATTTATTTTGTTGTATTTTTAAGTATGAAAGAATGAGTGCATAAAACCTTAAAAGCAAGAATTTGTAAGATTAAAAGAAAATCAAAGAAATGATCATAAGAACCTTTGATTGAATCCAAATGACTAGAGCCCAATAAATTTTTAAAAATTGATTTGTTTCGCTAAAGTTTTGTTAAGCTGAGTAAGTGTAGTTTGAAACTAAGAGTCCCATCTATATCACCAATACAGTTTCTTCAGGGCAACTGTCTCCAACTTTAAGAGTGCAATAATAGGCAATGCACAGTTTGTATTATATGTGAGAAATAAATTAGAAGAATTAACTTCCATGTCAAGTTAAGCAATAATTCAAGCCAAAGACTTGCTTGTTACATTGTCCTCCTCAGCATCTACAAGTATCTGGAATTAATAAGAAGAGTTATTTTCTTCAAAATAAATATGCATTATAACAAACACTTTTTGAAATGATCAGAAAGTTGAAAAGTTACTTTGAGTGATATGAAAGCGACCAGTTTGAGTAGCCAAGAAAGGTACTTATTTTAAAATAAAAGCAAGTCTGTTTTTATTTTCCAATTACTAGGCTTGGCTTGAGGAAATGGGTTATATGACCTATTTTTATTCTGACTCTTATCAAAAATAGGTTATATGAAACTAGTGTTTCAAAAATAGCAGCTACAAAATCAGCCTCTTGGCAATTTGTCTTGGATACTTAAAAAGCACAAGCCACAGTGCTGTCACCTGGGTAAAAGGTCCCAAGTTGCTAATGAAAGTGATGGCAAGCCATTTAGCAAGTGCAGAACTTCTTGGAGCTTCCCAGTGGTTCAAACTTCAAAGACAAGTCTATAACAGTGTGTATATTTATCAAAGCAATAAGGAGCCACTTGTTAAAATACAATTTTCTGTTCTGCAGGGGGCTGCTTGGTAGTGAGCCAGCCTGATGCCGACAGGTCTTGTAACCCACCATGTACTCAACCCCACTCATACTGTAATGAGGTATGTGCACATTCATTAAGATGGACAAGTGACCTCCATCATTTGTCACCCCACTGTCTCATGAACAGTCCCTCCCCTGTCCAAATAAGGCCATGAGTGGAGGCAGGTACCATCCACTTCAAAGCATCTCTTTTTACCTTTGTGAACAACTCTCAATGTACTTCATTGATTTACCTTTAGAAAGACTGCACCATAGCATGGGGGGCAGGGTTAATGTAGCTAAGGCAGAAACTGCATGTGGTAAATTCTCATAAAAATGCTTCCTAATGTTCATTATCAAAGTAAGCTTAATCGCAGTTTCCAAGAGCACCTCGTGTGTAGTGTAAACCTCGCTGTTCTCCTGCAGATGAAGGCATGCCGCTGTGAAGAAGGGTACACTGAAGTCATGTCCTCCAACAGCACCCTTGAGCAATGTACACTTATCCCAGTGGTGGTGATTCCCACTGTGGAGGACAAAAGAGGAGATGTGAAAACCAGTCGGGCAGTTCACCCAACCCAACCCTCCACTAACCCAGCAGGACGGGGCAGGACCTGGTTTCTACAGCCATTTGGGCCAGGTGAAACAACCAGACACTGAACACAAAATTCTTTACTTAGACATTCCACCAATAGTCATGCCACAAGATTTATTTTTAATAACCCAGCATTTTCAGATAAGTAATTATTTCTTAACCCATTTACTCATTTTTACATTGCATCTATGTCACCTTAAATACCTTGCCCCAAATGCAGAGAAATGAAAATACTTTCTTCAAAAATATTAATATTGATATTACTTATCTAAATCCCAGTCCTAAAGCTGTAAGTATAATAAATACACATTGAACAAAGCTATGTGATAATGAAAATAATTAGGAAAAATATATTTTTACCTACAGCAAGCACAAATAAGACTAAAAAGACATGTGGAGTTTTCAGTTTAACCATACAGAGTATGTGGAATGAACCTTCTTCATAAAGAGCATGAGAAATGCAGCCCTTTACCAAGGACACTAAGTGACATCCCCAGAGTTGATCTTCATAGATGCCCCAGAATCAATACTAGTGCAAATATACAGAGTCAGTGTTGGAACCTTCCTTTCTTAATAAAACCTTTCAAACTTGGATGCAGCCCATTGTCATATTACAATATATACTCTTAGTATATCCAGTAATGGACTTGAATTCAAGACAGGAATAAGCCTCCAGGCATGAGGAAATGCTACTCTCTACTTTGCACACTTTCTCTCTCTAACTGGAATAGATCTTATACACTTGTCTCCAGGTACAAAAAGTGCCCTACTAGTACTCCATAAGCAACATGGATTCTGCCTCTTTCTCCCTCACCATGAAGATGATCCAGGCAAAGTCAGACATAGTCAACTTTATAATTCCATTAGAAACATAAGAAATGATGGAGAAATCTGCATAGCTAGCATACCTCTATTTATGATCCATTAAGTAAAAGTATCTCCATTATTAGAGAACCAATATTGAATTTTTAAGATGTTTTAAATATCTGGGTGATTACCTGTATCCATATAGTCATTGCTTTTTATTGGATTCTTAGCTGAAAATACAATTGAGTTTTGAAAAGCTGATTTGTCTATAAAAATGTTAGAAACTCTCCTCTCCACATTATGAGAGCAAATTACCATTTAACAATTTTGACCTTAACTAAGAATTTAAGTAGATCTCCACAAATAAAAACAACTTTTCTCAATTAAAATAAAAGCATTCTTTCCACTTTATTTAGTAATTTCCAAAAATGAACATATTGAAACAGTAAAGATGTGGACACCCTTTGTTTTTGAATATTTGTTAATTTCACAGCAAAGAAACCTAGTAGTATAATAGTTCTTTTGATTCCAAACTCAATTCAAAAAAAGAAAATAAACAGGGGAAAACACTTTTAAATCTTCAGCTTTAAAAGGAAGCGATATTTAGAATATTAACTGAACTTATTTCCAACAACTGGACCTCTAATGAACAAAATACCTAGTACTAATTACCATTAATATTCTTAAATTTTGGATAAATCTCATGGGGTCATTTTTGACCACATCTAATTTTCATAATCATATCATATTGTGATATGAATACTGTCTACATACTTGTATGTACATATTGCCTACATACTTGCATGTAGGTAACAGACAGTGTATGCTAATATTAGCATGAAATTAAGTTAGGCAATATCATCCCTAGCAACGCAGCTTTAAAGTTTATCTCTGCAAATTCTGTTATTGTCAAAGCACACTACAAATATGGACTAGATAAAAGATTGTAATTGCAAAACAAACAAGTTGGTGTGTTAAGTTTCATCTGGTACAAAACTGTGGAAATCAACAGTAAATGGTCAAATAACCACTGACATCAGCTCCAGGTTTTATGTATTTCTGAAAAGCTGCATTTTTTATCTTTTTAATATAATATGCCATTCCAGAAGTAGGTTGAAAAGTCAAAGCATCTAGGACTAGACCTACAAATATGTTGAATTTGAGATAAGATTTCATATAAAGAACTCAGCATCTGAACAAAAGCACAATTTGTTGTTTTTAAACTGTTTCCATTGCTAATTCCCCTTGAATGCAATGCTGCCTAACTCCTAGTAGCTACTTTACATTACTGATAACTGTGCTAGGAAAGAATACATATCAAGTCTTGAACAGAACAGGCCATATATGACTCATCATGGGTCATAGTTCAAACCTGTCATATATGTTCCAAACAATGTAAACTAACTCGTATCTATTTTTCTTAGATGGAAGACTAAAGACCTGGGTTTACGGTGTCGCGGCTGGGGCATTTGTACTGTTAGTCTTCATTGTCTCCATGATTTATCTAGCTTGGTGAGTGCTTAAATGTTTCAGAATCTAAAAAGATATATAAGATTAGTATTTCAAAGAAAAATCTTCCAGTTGCCAGTAACACAGGAACAGACTAGTGTGTGAAATGCATATGTTGTACTTACTCCATCTTCTCACAAAGTTCTGAATTTAAAACATAAACTTTAAGATGAGAGAATCTAAAATCTGCCTACAGTGTCTGAGTCATTCAGATTGTGGAAATGAGTCAGGGCTGTTCTAGGTCATTTTTTTCAAGATTTCTCTCATGAGTAAATGACATAGAAAGTTGGTTTTCATTAATGATATGAGATATATATTTTATACTGAATTTTCCCTAGAGGAAGATGGCACAATTCTTAATCTTATTTAACTGTATTTGTAAATGTACATTATTTTTTAAAGTTCTTAAACAAATCCAAAATATGCTATGTCAACACTTCCACTGTTATCAATCAAGAAATTGATTAATTTGGCTTTTAAAAAATATTTAAATGTTTTGACATGGCTTCTTGGAACTGTGAAACTCAAAGAGTTCACAAAGTCATCTCTAAAAGGCAATGTAGAAAATAGACAATTTAGATTTACCAGTTTGTTTTGTTTTGCTTTTTAATTCAAAACAATAATATTTAACATGAAACACTGACTTTCTTCAATTTTTCCTGAACTTCCTACAGCAAGAAGCCAAAGAAACCCCAAAGACGGCAAAATAACCGTCTCAAGCCTTTAACCTTAGCATATGATGGAGATGCCGATATGTAACATTGACTCTTCCTGGAAACAACCAGACTTGGCCTTTTGCCTTTGTAGTAGACATCCAGGGACCACAGTGCTAGTATTCAAACCTCTGAATTATAATTAATTTAAAATGTTACGAACACCATCCTTAAGAAGAAAAGAAGAGAAAACCCCCCTCCCACTGGGAATATTCAAGACAGCACCACTGACATACAGAGAGTCAACCTTGAGAATACTAGCAGATGCAGTGGAATGCATGTTGTGTCACGAGAGTTTTGAATCATCTTTTCTGAAATCTACCGATTGAAAACAAACCACTTTAATCCCTAAAAAGCCTTGAGGAAATTGGCCAATTGGGAAGCCAGATGCAAGACTGCTTGTAGCACTAACCCGCAGAGCTTTCTAGCATGAAAAATTCATAATGAAGGTTTTATAACTCTACACTTAAGCATAACAACATGTATAGCCAATCAACTGATACACATATTGATGTCATCTTATATACTTGTTAATAATCAATGTTTAACAGTGAAGAAGATAAAGTCCTATGCTAGATGGAGAACCCATTGAACAATTTAGCATCTTCATGGTTGATGGTAGCTTTTATTGGCCTGCATTTCAGAGACAAACTCTTTTGTAAGACTATTCTTGTCTCTTTCCAATGTGTGAATGCTGGACGTGTACTAGTATCTTAGAAGACAGAATCCTCAAGTTCGGTATTTTATAGTGGTTATTGTCTAGGAAACAAATATGCTTGTGTTAATACATTTCTACTTTCCCTAATTTCACACTGGTTGCCTACATCTTTTTTGCTATATGGAAGGCACATTTTGCACTATATTAGTGCATCATGATAGGAACTTAACCAGTATTGCCATAGGAACTTCCTCTTTTCATACGGGATCTGTGCCAGGAGTGCTGTGGAGACATTTGCAAGCTTGTACTCGGGAGAGAGTTAGTTCAGTCTTGTTGGTAACAGGATCGAATCTGCTACTACATCTGCTGTCTACACTCTTCCTTCTCACTACAGCCATTAGGAAATTGAAAACACGGCAAGAATTCAAGTGATGAAGTCCCTAACCCATCAACCTCCAAAGGGTGGAAGCCCCTGGTTGGGTTGCAGTTGCTCTTGGAAGGCTGTTTCTGATGAGATTTATATATTTGTTATCTTTGTTTAAAAAAAGAAGAAGAAAAGAAAAGAAAAAAGGACTGGTTGTCTTCGTAATTTTGAGCAGATGGAGAAAATAATGTACTGATGATTTTTGTAACAAAAAAATCACAATTATGTGTTAGCTTTTCTTTCTTCCTGATTTGCTTTCTCGGTGTGAGGTTGACATTCTGTCATGTAGGCTGTCTTTCACTGTCATGGTCTTTTGCCCTTCTCCTGACTGAAATCTCAAGCAGTATGATTCTAAAACCTAAAGCTTAAAAAGAGAAGAGCAAGTTATCTCATCTAGAGTTTGCTTAAATATCAAGAGCAACAGTCACAAACCTTATAAGAAAAAGATCAAACAGGAAATGTTTTCAGTCAGGTCTGTAGTTGAGCTGGCAACACTCCCATTGTTCCATGGTGCCAGAGAAGATACTCCACAGGAAAAACAGTGACATCACTGTTTTCCATGAAAAAAACAACAGGCTGTTTTTACATGTCTTAGTTTGTGAACCTACCTTACTCTGTAGATGTGTTCATAGAGCTAGCTCTACCGTATACAATCGTTAGTTTTCAGTTGTTTACTCTCTGTCTACCAGCTTTGATCTCACAGGTCACAATTTATAGTCATTACTATTGTTGGGGAAGTGGTTCTGTATTCACTGGCATAGCCTGGGAAATGCTATCATGGAGTATTTCTCACTTTTTCCTTCTAAAAAGGAAGTTAAACTGTGTAGGGGGAAAAAACAGTCACGTATTTCTGGCAGTAACTGCTGCAGTTAGCTTCTGGACCATTTCCAGTCATTTAAATACAGTAAACACCTTTAGGGTTTTGCTTTGTTTTGTTTGTTTTTAAGCTTAAACATTTGTGTGTTGCTGGAACTGTGGTTTGGGTGATGAGGTATTTGCCTTCATAGACTGGGTATGAGCTCCCCCTGCTGTCCATTAGAACAGCATTTCCTGCAAAGATTACAAAAGAATCCTGAGTGTATTGTAATCCCACAAATGAAAATCTTTATATAAATTCAATATGAAAAATGTGATAAGTACCTTTTATTTATTCCAAATTTAAGGTTTTAGATGGTATATGTCATTTCAAAGAGAGGAGACAGGAGGATGAGTTTACTGTAAGCCAAGGATTTAGTTGAAGTATAACATGAAGAGGAAGGAAAATAATATTGTTACTATAAAACTGTGATTGTTACACAAACACACACATGCACACACACACAAACACACACACACACACACACACATACGAGGTCTTCAACATAATTCTTAAGTTAATCTCTTTGGATCAAAAAGCTCAGTTCAAAATAGATGAAACATAATCCATTGTGATTAGGTGAAAAATTGTAACAATCTGATGAAATGTAGGCAACACCTAGCATTCTTGAGATGGGGAATAAAATCTTATTTTATTCCTTGCACAAGCTACATTTAAGGTATTTTATGAAATGTGATTAATTATAAAGACAAATCAGTGCTCTCCTACCTAGGATATAATAAATAAGTTAAAAAATCATAAGATATAAAAATTGTGAAGATGAAGGATGTTTATGAATAAATAATTGTATTTAAAGCTACATTAATGTTGGAAAAACTGGATATTCCGTATCAGGATAAATCAGTACTGCATGGATTATTGTTAGAAATGGGAAAATGAGAATGTATCCATTTGGATAATTTGGACCAATGGGTGCTTATTATACTTATACTTATTATACTTATAATTCAGGAGGTAAACAGTAAAATTTTTCTGATGACAACCTGTGCCTTTCCAAAACAGTCTGTGGGCAGAAATAAAAGGAGAGGGAGACAGGAAGGGAGGGAAAGATGGAGGAGGAAGGGAAAGAAGGAAGGAAGGAAGGAAGGAAGGAAGGAAGGAAGGAAGGAAGGAAGGAAGGAAGGAAGGAAGGAAAGGAAGAAGAGAGATGATCTTCTATTTGATTTTAAGAAGAAAGGACAAATGCAGATATGTATAGAATATTGTTGGACTATCCCAGGAAGAGTGGCATGACTGATATTCCTTGAAAGAGGCTGATTTGCCTATTCATCAGTGCCCATCCAGTATACTGACTATAAATAAGCTCTATTTCGAGGTTTCTTTGAGTGTAGCCTAAACTAATTGAAAAGGGGTACATTAAAGCATGTCTTTAATTATTTATATAATGAAGCACAAATTACTTATAAGAAGACATATTTATTGAGTTATCACATGTCCGACACTCAGCTGGACACTTAAAATTAGTAAAGGCTTTGTATACATAAGTTACTAAGACATCCAAAAGAAGAAAAAGCATGCTTTTTAGAGGCGCTTGCTTTGGAACACATTACTACAGATTCTTTAAAAGCATGCTTAGTCCTTTTCCACAGGGATTGTAAATGTTGGAACATGCTTTGAGGGGTGGCAATGGTCATAGTGGCTTAATAAAACTGCCAAGTTCCTGAATATTTCAAGATAAAGGCATTGCTTCTGGAGGAAGAAAGCAGTACTTCCCACACATGCCTTTAACTCCTCTGACTTACTGTATCCTTGCTTCTGTGTGATGCTCCTCTCTGACTATTCTCTCTAATTCTACTCTCCTCCTGCTTTCCATAGCCTTGTCTCCTTCCCTCCAAACCACCTGCCTCTAAACACGTCCAAAATTTTACAAGGAAAAGTGTAGCATATTCATTAACTCTTCCTACTGAAAAACAAACATCAATTAGGGTGTAAACATTTTTATCTTATAAAAGCAATGAATAAGGAGTAAAGAGTCACACCGGTGACACACCAAGAGAAGAACAAAAAGAAAATCTGAAAATGTCAGTTTCTATATTTATATTGTTATTAGTCAGTATTCCCTTATTCCCCCTATTTTCATCTAAAATCTCTGTTCTCTTCCCACGTTGCACAAGAGTGAAAAAGTCTGTATCTATCCATAATGAACAGGAAAGAGCCTATTTCTAGGGAGACTTAAAATAGATTTATAGAGATCATGCTTTCCAATGTCCTGCAATGTTGTCATTTGTAACATTTACACCATCAGTTTGAATGTGATTTGTCAAGTTTCCCTTGTACTGAGGGCGGAGGCAGCCAGCAGTCCCTGAACAAGTCTATGCGAACCCTTGGAGAGAATCCTTGAGCACTGGTTGTCTAGTTTGGGTATGAGAACAGAATCTCCCTGTCCTGGTTGCCCGTCAGGGATTCTGACACAGAGGTGTGGACACAGCAATTGACTTGTTCTTAGTTTTATATTTCTTTTTGGTTTTTCTATCAATAAGATATTTGCAGTGTGATTAAAAAGTCTTATGTAACAAACACAGTGGGAAGTGCTTATGTCTGCAATGTTAAATGAATAAGGTAAATGTTAAACATACAGAGTTAAATATGCATTTTGATTCTGCTCTGTCAAGCCAGACCAGAAACCTGGAAACAACTGAAGCAAGCCACCTTGTCAGTGGGTAAAAACCTACTTTACTTAGACTATAACTGGCTATAAGTCTTATTGTTCTGTTTTGTAGTTGTTTGGTTTCTTTTCTTCGTTTAAGTAACCTAATTTTGAGCCTCAATAAACTCTCGGGATAATTTGTTCCTGTTTATTTTTAAAATTAAACATTTAGATTCCATTTCTGGTCCTTTGTCTTTTGTCCCTTTTTATCACAGAATTTTGAGAAGATCAGTACCCATTACTGTAAAATATAATTTTGTTGAATTTATAAGCAATTATTTCTTTAAATTATATGGGTCTAAGTGGGACACTTTTGTTAATTTAACTACCTGAATATTTATTTTGCTGGAGTAAGGAGGCAACTGTCTGTGAATCTTTTGTTAATATTACTTTGTAAATTGTGTAATGTAATTTATTTTAAATTATGTGTACTTATTTTTAGCACAAAATATCTATGTACAAGTACTGCAGATTGGCAAACACTGTCACTGAACTTTATGCAGCCAATGTGGATGATGTGTGGAGATGTAATGTGCTTTTCTACATTTTCATATGGGTTATTTGTAAATATCTATATTGCTGACAGACATAAATCAGAAATCATTTTCATTCTAACTGTGTGGGTCTGTGCTTTTATTTGCATCATCTGTTTCTTATGCATGGATAAAAACATTTATTTATTGAATATCCAAGTCTTTTACATTTCTTTGTTTTATATTTGTTATATGTTTTCAATTCCAGTGTAGAAAGTTTAGGAAATTAAGATTTCTCTTTAAAAGTCAGCCAACAAATGGACAAAGAAAAATGTGGTATATTTATACAATGGAGTATCAACAACCACAGAGTCTGCATGGGGACCGACCTACGTCTACTACATATATGTGACAATTGTGTACCTTGGTCTACTTGTAGGAATCCTAACAATGGGAGCAGGGATTGTGCCTAACACTTTGGCTAGCTCTTAGGAACCCATTTATCATACTGGATTGCCTTGCCCATCCTAAATACAGGGAAGGTGCTTAGTCTTACTGAAACTAGATATGCCATGCTTTGTAGATACTCATGGGAAGTCTGCCCCTTTCCTAACAGACACAGAAAAGGAATGGATTGGCAGTGGTGGGGGGAGGGTGGAGAGGAGAGGAGAGAAGGGAAAACTCAGTCAGGATGTAAAATAATCAATTAAAATTTTAAAAAGTCAACTGATGTGGCTACCCAGTGAGTTGTCATGGTCCCAAGGCCTCTTGGTATTTTCTTTTTATCTTGCTTGCTGAGCACCTCCACTTCTGCACTCGGGAGAAGTCATTTACTTATGTGTTCTATTCCTTGCTTGGAATGATGCTCAACACATAGTATGAATAACAATAATAATAATAAGTAAATGCCTAATTACTGAAATTAATTACTGTGCCTCAAAGCCAGTGGATAGCATGTAACTGAGCACAAATATCAGAGCAAGAAATCAAAAGGACCCCAGGCATAGGAGACTGATGAATTCATCCAAAACTGCAAGGTATCAGTGTTCCACACAAAGAGGTTGGAAATTAGAGACCAGAGAATTCCTCCAAAGTTCCAAGATTTTGATACCGTATGGTTGAGAACATTTAATTTTGTATTTCCATTAGCCTAAAGTATGTTACATTAACATAACATGTGTTGTAAGCAGAATAAAAGCAGATCAGCTGAAGTTGGCATGGTGAGACTGGCACTCCAGGGCAATGGAGAGCTAAGAATGTTCCAATAAGATGGGCAGTATCATTGATTTGAAAACCATGGTGAAAACAAGGTCTGTAAGGAGAGTTCTATTGTACTTTCCCCTGGGGTTTAACTCAAATGCACATCTAATCCCATTGTGACTGGGTCAGAGAGCTCAGAATACTGGAAAATGAAGAAAGGAGTAGTTGAAAATTTCAAAACCAAACAAAAAAGAAACCTGTGTTACAGACTATAAAGGAAGTCTGATTGTACTATTCAGTCTTGAACTAATTCATTTTTATGTCAGTAATGATTAAATTACATGCTACTTCTTTCAGTGCAAAAGTCAGTAGAAAAACAAAAGCAAAACAAAACCCTGGGCCAATCAAATATTGATTTGGAAGTACAGCGTGGGGGCATTCAGCAACCATGAAGCACGGTAATAAACAAAGGAATAAGTCCATTCTGTGGAGAAAGCAATGATGGGACTTCCCTGAGAAGTAAAATGAATTTCAAAATGAGAGTCAGCTGGTCCATCCAGAGGACGGCATGGAAGGCAAAGCGTGCATGTTAAGGAAATGTGAGGATCCACTTCTGCTTTTTGTAAACACAGTGAGTTGACAGAAAACCCTGTCAACCATATCCCCAGTGACCCCCTCAGCTGCTCAACTGACAGCTGATGGGTCACTCTTCATTTCACAATTTATCTTTATGAAAGCACTACGTGTTCATAATTGCCCACGGGGTTCTTTTTCCCAACATTCATCGCATTGTACTGTTTCTTCACCAAAGGGTTCTGTCCCCTTTCTTCTGATGGCACGGTCTTGCTTCTGTGGAACGTGGCTTGAAGAAATAAATCAACAAGGAGGTATCTTGTGTGGAGAAGGGGGCAGAGTATGCAAACATAGCCTTCGATATCCCTATGAAAGACTCTTCAACAAGCATTTGGACAACTGAGGGATCACAGGAAAATAACATTAAAAATTGCCCCATGGTGATTCATAAAAAAAAGAGACTGAGACCAGATCTGACATGTTGCAAAACAATTATGGAAATATTTGTTCAGCAATAAAAACTAAGGAAGCCTTTGCTGTAATCCCCGTTAGCCTAAGTGTCATGTCACTTTCAAAAAGAACTCATAGCCAGAAACAGTTAAATGCAATTATGGAACCCACACTCAAAGAAGATGTAGCAGCAATTTGAAACCTATCTTTGATTGCAATGCCATGTGGAGGGAATACCCACTGATATGAAAGTAATAAGAGCAATACCTACCCCTGAGAGCACTGGAATATGCATGTCTAGCCAGGTCTGGTAAGAAAAGGAAACAAAGTCATTTGGTGTTATTGAGGAAATGACCCAATAAGTTAGAAAACAAATCTCAACATCTATTACCTTCAAAGATACAAAAAGAAAAAGGATTTTAAACTTCCACTTTAAAGGAAGTATTAACTAATTTAAGTCAAGAAGAAACAATGTCAACGCTATGTTAATTGAACAAAAAGTCTTTAAACTGGTAATTCTATTTCTCATAACTTATTCTAATATATGATGGTATGTTATGTTATATATGAGAGAGGAGGAAAGATGTTAGCAGGATGACACACCCTGTGTTTGTGTTTTACATTGTGTGTGTATATGTGAAAGAGATGATAGGCAAATGATTTGAATGGTTGTTGCAAAGCATCCACACAATGATGGTGCTAGACTGATAATTACTGTAATAAGTTTATAGCTACAGAATTATAAAAGCTCAGAAATGGAAGACATAGCGAAGTATCGGCACATATAAAATAGAAGCTCAGGTGAGGGGCTGACTGGGACACAGTGGTCAGGAACCAACTGAGAAGGACTGGGGTGCTGCAGAGGGTTGGAGTGGAGAGGAACAAGCAAGAATAAAGTGTGACACATTTGTGTGAAGGTGCCATGATGAATCCAGAACTTTATGCTAACCTAAATTTTTTCAGTTAAAGCAACTTCTGATAGATGAGTAACCCAAGATCTTGTACATACCTTCATTTAATATCTGTCTTCAACAGAAAGATTAAAAATTATTGAAAATTACAGACCCATTAACAAGTATGCTATCCTTTGTTAATGGCCATGAAGCCATGAAGTTTTTACTCTATCATCTGTCTATTTATATACTTATCTTTATACTAATTTAATTGTGTGGTGCTGGGATAAAACAAGATACCTTGCACATGCTAGGCAATCAATTTTGAGATTCTGATCTTCGCCTGAACTACACTCAGAGTCCAAGTTATTTGTTCTAAACAGACCAACTATTGATTGAAAACCGACTCAAGATTTTTGATAGAGGATGAAATTTAGCATTATTTCTTCTGACTAATTCACCTGTAACGCTGACTTAAAAAGCAGTGATAAATGGGGGTCATCGATATAAATAAAAGAAAAAAATGTTACCTGCTTATCTTTGGAAAAAGAAACATTTTTCAACCTAAATCCCTCTCTCACAAAGTAATTTTTTAAGAAATGAAAACTTTCTGGCTCATTTTGACACACCAACTTTGGGTGTGTCAAAAGAATAACAACACAAAAAGGAGTCATCTGGCTGAGTGGCAACTGCCTGAGGTTAAACTTAATGAACCGAGAAAGAATGCTTGTGTGACATTAGGGAGAGCAGCTGGGAAAAAGGACTCTCTCTGTCTGTAATGGTCAGCGCTTACCAGATAATGAACAGCTCATTTTCTGGACTCTGGAAAACACCAACATGGACACATGGAGTCCTGATAATTGTCTTCCTGATTATAGATCCATTCTATATAATGTGTGAAGCTAAAAAATGACTGGGGAAGGGTTCTGAAAATGGGCATTGAGGCTTCTGAGTAAATGCTTGTCTGTGTATCTCACACTGCCCTCTATTATAACTTGGCTGCACAGAGCAAGAGCAGTTAGCACATGAGACGTTTTTGTCTTCCATCCAGAACTATTTAGAGAAAGTTGAAAAATAACGAGAGCCTAGTGTCAAGTGCAGGTGAAATTAGGATGCTATTTACTAGATGAAAAAGAAATAACTCTCATATTCCCAAATTGGTTCTCTAATATGATAGCCATGAGTAAATTGTTTATACTACAGCATCGAAGGGATTGAAGAGAATTAAATATAGGCATTTGATTTTTTAAAAAAACCACTCAGTTGATGAAATTTCAGAAAGTCTCAAACAAATTAATAGATGAACTGTAAGTACTTCTTGGTCACAGACAGGAGAATGTAATGCATATCCCTCTGCCCTGCCATTCATTGTAAATAGTAGTTGAGCCTCATAAGTACAAGGAACTTCAGGCTTCGAAGGCATAGCAGGAAAGAAACAAACATGAAATTTGGTTTCATGGAACATCCATTCTAATAAGGAGAGTAAGACAATAAATAAAGGCAGAAAGAAATGCAATGTGCTGACTGGTGAAAATACCATTAAGAAAAGTGAAGTATGGCAAAAGCAATAATTAGTGGTACATGGAGAAAGGGAGGTCACCTGATAGGGATATGTTGGTGGGGAAAAGCTGAAGAACACACAAAGAACAGAAACAGGAAATGTGCACACAAAAATGAGGAAACATAGCTTTCCCATTAGAAATTTGCACAGTCTGAAATGGAGAAGAGAATTCTGCCAAACAGCGATGGTGAGTTGGTCACTGAGAAAACATCCTCACCATCTCCTTTGATACATGCAAACAATGCTGATTCTACTGGAAACCCCATGGAGAATGGCTGTGCTGAGAAAGGCAAAGTTTCAGTGTCCAGATTACCCCAGCCTAGTAACACCATAGAATACTCCTCTTCTCCTCTAAACACACCTGGGTCTTAGTTTATTTACAAATGTATGTGTGCATAGCAGCACATATTAAGAGGCTGAAAGTACGAATGCCTGTAACCACATAATTCCACGATATGAATTCTG